AGAGCAGAGTAGCTTTTGTGAAGTGTCTTTTTTATATTTAAGTGGTCAAATAAAGCATTTGTTTAATCAGCTGGTGAGCCCAAACAAAACATGGGACTAAGCTGGAGAGAGAAGACAGATATCTGAGACTCTTAAGCGCCCAAATATTGGCTTTATACATCTGCCAACTGATAAACACATTTTATGATACTCTGATGGATTTCAGTAATATTGTGTATATAGTCAATGGGATAATCCAAAAATATTGAAAATATAGACATGCTGTATTTTTTCTCTATATTGCTATGTCTACCCCTAACTTGGGACATGTTACTGTGAGAGATTTAGTGCAAATAGAGGTACATCTACAAAAGAACAAGTGATATGACTTTCAGCTCTGTCGTGAGATCTGAATCTTTTGGATCTATTCATGTTAAAGAGCTGTTCAAAAGGCTGACTCTTTTAATGTTTATTTCTATGACAGAAGCCAATCTGAGTACTTACGTTAACATTTTAACAGTGCACAGAGACAAATAACCAAGGCTAAGATTTGATTAAAACTGACAGTGAAAGTGTGTTTTTCCATTTAAATTATACATAAACATTTGCTCTACTTTAATCATAATAATTTAAAGAATAAGAAAGTGTTATTATGTTGCCAAATATGTATGCTGTGGACAAAGCTCTCACTCATTTTGCTTGCTTTGCTACTGTGTTGGCTCAGCATTGAAGGTGCGCTGTTTAACTTTTCGTTTGGGGGTCCATCACCGTCTTGTTTTTATGGAAATGCCATTGCTCTGCTTAGAATGTTCCACAATATGACATTAAACAGATTTACCTTATATTTATTCAATATTTAAAATATTTAGAAAACAGGCATTCTGACTGTGAGCAGGGTCACCTCTCCAAAGATCTGAACTGTTTGTTCTCCATGAAGATAGAAGGTTTAATGCCATACTGTGAAACATTCCAGACAAAGCAATCTCCATGAAGAACAGCTTTTGATGGACCCTCCACTAGAAGAAGAAAAAGTTACTCAATACACCTTTAATGAGTCTAAAAATGCATAGAAATTGGAAAGAAAAAGATTCAGATATTTTCAAAAGTTAGATCTGGTTCTAATCATTCACTGAACTGTTGTAAATCACAATAACAAATGCTTTTAATATCAGTATATGTGAAATGTAATAGTGCTACCTGAGACTATAGGCAGCTTTTATTGTCCAACATGAAGGACAGACTGTGTGTTCCTCCTCTGTGGCTCTAGGGCTCAGAAATGAGAGGGCGCTGTATTGTTTCGGATTTGCTTCTCAAATCAGATCTCTGCCTCTGCGCTTCAGTAATCCGGTGGCAGACAGAGAAGGCAGCATTAATATTTGTGTCCTGATCCAACACCGGAGGGGACAAGAGAGCCGATTTAAACCCAAATTACAACGCCTTAAAACTGGATACAACCGAGGCACGTGGTGGTTTGGTCTCTGACTGATAAGAATGTCACAATGTTAAATCTTTTTGTTATGATTGATAGAAAAGAAGCTGTAATTTCACGGTTGTCATGAAATATTGGCGTCATGAAGAAAAATAGACTGAAACTTAAATAAAATCTTGCATTTACATTGTCAAAAATGTATATCTTTAACTTATGACCAACTATATTAAAGGTGCACTATGTAACTTTTAGGGTGGGGGTCCGGCCTTCCTTCTATAGACATGTCATTGTTCTGCGTCAAATGTTCCACAGTATGACATGAACAGACAAACAGATCTACCATATATATATTAACTTACAGGTGGTGTTATAGCTCAACAATATCTAGAAAACCAGGCTTTCCGACTGTGAGCGGGTTTGCCTTTCCACAGATCTGACCTGTAACTTGGTCTGGTTTGGTCTGGTTTGAAGATAGAAAGGCTTAATGCCATACTGTGAAACATTCCAGACGACACAGTAACATTAGCCAGGCTGGAGCCACCTAGTGCCTTCGCTCAATTTCATTTTTCTCCACTGAAAGGTCAGAAATTGGAATACTCTAGACAGTTTGCAAGAACGCCAGAAGTTGTAGACCGCGCACCAGCCAATCAGTGAAGAGCTGTGAAGCCATGACGTCAGACTCAAGCGCCTGTCTGGGCCCTTTTTGTGGTACAGCACAACAGTAAACAAAGCGGTCGAGATGGATGTAGACAAAGACATTCTGTGTTGGCAACGATTCCCTGAGGTCAAGGATTTAAAGGCGGGATTTTATCAAGGGGAAAGACATTATTGCACTTCTTCCTGCAGAATTTGTCGCATTACATACGTCATGATCAAATAGCAGCGATTGGTTAAATAAAAAAAAGTACCTGCCTACCGTCAAGTAAATGAATCCTAATGTTGCGAGGTTAGACAGTTTCCACAAAGTGAAACCGGCTGATGAATTAGGCTACAATTACATCTCCGTGAAAGCAAATCATTTGGCAAATCATTCTGTTTAGCTGTGCATAAGACTGAAAGGTTTTATTCCACACTCTGCTCTCTAATTTAATGTCTCTCCCTCTTTTTTTTTATTTTATGATGACTATTTATGTTTTGATTTGTTTTTATTGTGGTTTTAATGTATTTCTTATTCTGTAAAGCACTTTGAATTACTTTTTGTACGAATTGTGCTATACAAATAAACTTGCCTTTCCTTTTGCATCAGTACTGTATCAAAACAAAATTATACTGCTGAAGCTTCTGTTTAACATATTTTTGCTTTTGTATATTCAAAAATTTGCAAAATAATATATATTTTTCTGTGACACAAAAATTACAGCATCTATACGTTTTTGTGATTTTGTTTGTGTTTCTTGCAGTTCTTGTGATACATGGGCTTGAGAGTAATCATTAACATGTTCAAATACCAGTACTCAAAATGGCGCCTATAGACATAAAAAAAAAAAAAAAAAAAAACTGAAACCCATGTCATAAATGATACAAAAGCTCAGATAGAACCTAGCGTTGTACTTGTGCATTAAGATCAAATAAGATGTATTGTGGTGTAACATAGGTGAATGGAGGGTGAGAGCTGAAGAAAATAGAGTGTGACATCCAGGTCGACCTCCAGGGGGCCTGCTCCGAACAGACAGCTGTGACATATGAGTGCGTGTGGGGCCGTGACACCTGGGCTAGCATTAGCGGCTAGCCCACAGCGTGATGGATGGAGGAGGAGGAGGTGCGCTAGCAGTGCAGCCTTAAAGCAGGGCTGCAGAGATTTGTCCCAGTATGTAGCGTGAGCACTAGCTGTAAATCACTGTACGGTTGAAAGAAATGTGGCAAGGAGTTTGATGCGGCCTTGTTTTGAAAAAGGGGTCAGAGCATGTTCCCACCCAGACAGGATTCTTGCCCACTCTATCAAACATAACCTAAGATACATCTCAAGATCAAACATTACAGGTGTTGTTTTTAGCCTCATTTAATTGGTAAAGTGTCACCTTTATACAGTATAGAGCTTTTCTGCCTCTCAAGGAACTCAAAGCGCTTTACACCGAGGAACTACCTACCCATTCACACACTCATTGACACTGGGGGCGAGGGAGTTAAGCGTCTTGCCCAAGGACAAATCAACAATATTCACCCATGGGAGTTAGAATTGCACCTCCAGCCTGTGGGTCACTATATCTGCTCATTGCTATTTGGATTTATGGCAACGTTTGGTTGAAAGATTGATCTTCCATTAAATATCTGTTTCACCGTCTTTGGACACACAAAGCACTTTTACATTATTTAGGCACACACATGCTCAGGCCAAGTGGTGCTGTCACATACTAAGATAAAACTTGATCCTAAGTGTTAAAGAAATTCCATGTTTGTGCTGTATCGTGGGCACTCACAGCCAGCTCAGTCCTTGTTATCTTGGCCTACATCATCAAAGTATAATACTCCCTACAACAGAAGCAAAGCCAGACTGGACTGTACTAGAGTGGAATGGGCAACACTATCACAGTGTCTTGAGGGTTCATGTCTCGTACTGATGGTAAAAGAAGTTCTCCTGCGTAAGAGCTCCAGAGTCATGCCTCTTCTCAAACTACTTCACTTTATTCTGAACACTAAGAAAAAGACTTGATACTCCATAACAATTTTGGCACTTTTTCTTTGGCACTTGAAGGCCAGTGACTCTGGACTTGGACTTGAGCCCTGTGACTTGACACTTCTCCTCAAATAAAATAATGGTTTTAGAAAACAAATTCTCTATACAGTTTCATACTCTTAGTACTTTACAGGAACAAACTGGAACATCCCTCCCCAACAACTGAGATACTGTGATATCATATAATCAAATATTGGGGGGCTGTCACAATGAATTTGATGACAAGTTCCCTTGTCATGTATCGTTTTGTTTCAGCAATTACTAAAAAACAGTTGGAATTATGATCCACGGTAAGGTTTTGTCAAGGCATTTTATAAGGATAAATCTATAATTCTGTAATAAATATTGTACAGTGAGATTTGCATATGGTTACATAACTATTTGTTACAATGACTTTTTAATGAAAAGATTTGAAGCTCAAAACAATCGTCTTGGACGTGACATGTTCTTGACTGTCTTTAACTTGAGACTTGACTCGGACTTGAGAACCGAGACTTGAGACTTACTTGAGAGACAGTGAGAGCAAGAATATTATCTGAGCAAGAGTATAATAAACTATCAGTCGAACGATGCAATTTGAGCAATTGGAAAAATTCCAGTTGTAAAGAAATCACTACAACCAAGATTGCGGCAGCCTCATCTACTCTAATCTTATCCCTTTGATTAAGCTAAAGGAGGCCGCAAACAAATAAATAAATGAAATGCTTAAAAACATTTGACATTTTCCTCAGTGCAGCTTCAGATACACCTGTTTATATTCAGTGCCAGTCCATTCGCTCTGGGTTTAAATGTAATATCAGCACATCTCTGCTTCTGTCAGTTGTGAGGTGACGATAACAGAAAGTTGTTGGTGGAAGTAAAAAGCTCAAGGCCCAGGGGGTTTCAGTGCATACTTCTAATTTCCTGTGTTTCTCCCAGATGTAGACACAACCAAGGACCCCTGTCAGAAGGTTAAGTGCAGCCGGCACAAGGTGTGTATCGCCCAGGGCTACCAGAGAGCTGTGTGCGTCAACCGCAAGAAGCTGGAGCATAGGTGAGCATTTCAACTATAGGAAACTCCCCAATGCATTCACACTCGCAAGAAAGAAACATCCAGAAATGGGGTCAATGCAGGAATGGGCAGGATAAAGCTAGTGTGTATGGAAGAACTTATATTAGGTGAGTTTCTGATCTATGTTATCATGTTGTTTTATCATCACAAACATACCTGGAGGTGTGTTTTGTTTCAGTCACACATGTTTCCGTAACCCTTTATTATGAATATGTCTACATCTCCAAAGCTCTGTTCCACTTTGTGATGTCATGAAGAGGGAGTATTCCAAGTTAACTGCTCCTTCTACTTTTAGTTCAGCAAAGATTGGCAGGTCCAGGTCTGAAATCATCTAAGTGATTCTAGTGAAAGTGTGTGGAGTTTAAAAACACAGCAGAGCACTTCCGCTATCACCACATGTCATCACAAGGAGGAACAGAGTGTTTCCTGTTTGAGAGAAGAACTCTGCTTAAATATGCAGGGTTTGTGTGCTGAATGAAACAAAACTAAACTCCAGGTATGACTGTAACAAATTAACAACATTATAACAGTTCAAAAATAGACTAATATGGGCCCTTTTATGTTTCTGGTTGGGGAGTCCACTATCTGTTTATCTGCCAGTGATGTTATTGCTTTGCCTTAAATGTTTCTCCATATGGCTTTTTATCTTGCTTTTATTTAATTAAAGGTGTTTAATTAAAACATCTTTAATTAATATACCTTGAAAAACATCATCACTCACTAATAGCCATGCTGCAAATTTCCCCTTGCAAAGATGTTTCACTCCCCTCTTTTGCCAGCAGAGGGTATCAGACAAGTGTATTTCTGTGTCTTGTCCCTCCAGACTGAAGCAGCCTGCTCTCCGCTCTCCTGACGGAAGCTGTCAGCCCTGCCCCATCTCCTCCACTGGGCCTGTGTGTGGCTCTGATGGACACAACTACGCTTCTAAGGTAACTACAAGTACATAACAGTTAGCAGCTATTATGATCCTTTTTTTTTAAAGGTTTTATATTATGAAACACTGACTCTTGTGAGCTTTAAGCCACATGAGAATGTTATTACCTTCTCAAAAACATACCTGGATTTGTGTTTTGTTGGAGAAACCCTTTATTATTTGTCTGTTTACATCTCCAAAGCATAGACTATAAAAAAGTGGACTAAGCCTGACATCACCCGTAGCGTCAGGCTCCACTCAAATATATCAAATATCCACTCAAAGCTTGCAGTGCTAGCAGTTATAGGAGCGAATTTGAAGCCAGGCTCTTTATTATGAATAGAAATTTTTTTGACAGACAAAATAACAGAAAAAAACACCAGGGTAATGTAGAACAGGTTAATGCGAACATTTTAAAACCAAAATGACAAGGCTCACAGCAGCAGTTACAGAGAGAGGAGCGATAATATTCCAGTGTTCCAAAATTAATGGGAGCCAGGGTCAGTAGCCTGCAAAGCGAAGAGCTTGCCTGTGAACTTCCCATTTGGAAAGCCACGGCTAGCATGTTAGCTATGTTCATTTATATATACAGTCTATGCTCCAAAGCTCAAAATTCTCTGCTCCACCTTGTGATGTCATGTAGTGATAATGGTCAACAGCCACCTTTTAGCTTTGGTTCAGTAGAGATTGGCAATTCCAGGGCTGAAATTATGCAAATGATTCTAGGGAAAATGTATGGCGTTTAAACTTACCACATGACATCATAAGGTGTAACAGACTGTTTTCCCTTTTGAGAGAAGAACCAGCCAGGATTTGTTAAACGTGTGAATGAAACTAAACAGAGGAGGAAACAGCATTATAACATAGAAAAGAGCGTAATAGGATCCTTTAAAATGGAGTTGATGTGTGGGATGTCAGTGTCTGGCTAGATGATATAAGCAAGTGTGTAATATTTTGCATTTTGTTCTAGCATTTAATATAACAATACCAACTGATAACAGCTATTTTTTATAGTTTTACTATGTTCAAATGTTCAAATGGCTATCTAGTTTTGATACTGGCAACCCTGCAACCTCCACAAAATTTAAAAGTGCACTGCGCAACAAACATATCCATCTAGCATTTACTGTATTCATTACGAATGTTTCTATTGCTCAAAAAAACATTAATTCCTTCAGTGCATTGGGGCGCCTCTCCACAGATCAGAACTGTAATGTAGTGTAGTGCTGTAACCTGCTTGTCTCCCTTGTGATAGGTTTGATTTATACTGTGGAACATCTAGAAAAAGCAATAACATGTCCATGGAGACAAACAGATACACAGTGCACCTTTAAAATAGTCTATTAAATATTTTATACAGTATGCACAACAAACAACAAGACAGTGTAGATGGTACAATACCACACTGATTTCATTGCCATTTATAATTTATATCATCTGTATAATGTTTAAATTTTGCATATACAAGTCTTTTCATAGCAAACAACACAGTAATAACATATCACAACAGTATCTTATCCAACCTGACTACTCATGGTTACCTTGCAACACCGTTATCAAACTGTCATTGCAGCTAAACACAGATGATGCTTTTAAGATTTAATTTACACTCCCTCCTTCCCTTTCAGTAGCATTCATGGACCATATGCCAGGTATAAAACTAGATTTAACATGCTACAAATGCGTAAAAGTGTTAGCGTCATGTTAATAAAAAATACCCCTCAACCCTGTCAAACCGTGACACAGATTGCCACAATATTGTTCCCCGTGTGCTAATGTAATGTGACGTGCGTATGGCTGCATGAATAGTTAAATTCTTCTCTAGCAGTTCTAGTGCTGGAGAGCATTGTAAGTAGCCTCCCATGGGAATTACATAGACAATAAGGCGTGATATATAGCCACAGGAGGACCAATTGGTGGCCAGCGTTGACAGATTCCCCAGCCTCTATTGATTTATGCTTTGTCTTTGGGATCACTACTGCTGACCTTGTGTAGAGGTGAGAGAGCGCATTCGGCAGCCAGTCCCTGATTCAAATTAAATCTTACTGTAGGGACTTCATGAATATTTGATGCTGCAATAAGTCAAAACAGGATTGTCTAGTATAGTCTAGTATGGGTTAAGAAGGCAAGTATGACTCTGGGTTTTAGTTTTTTTGAGTTTGGCATAGAAAGATTGCTTATAGATCTTTCCAGGAATTGTAAAAAGTTGCAGCACACAGCCTGGGAGCATCATAAGCATTCTATTCTATTCAGTTTAATGCAGAGACTATATATATAAATAGTGAACCTGCTAGCCTCCCTGTTCCAAATAGTAAGTGAGCATGGGCGCGCTTCCGGTTTCATCAACACTGGCTCCAGTTTCACTTTGTACTGAAAAAAACATCGCCTCTCTCCATAACTGCTGCTGTCAGACTCCTCATTTTAGTCTTAAATTTTTTGTATTAACTCACTCTACGTGATCCCAGTGTTTTTAATTTATAAATTATTTCCTATTTCTAATATGGAACTCTGCTCCAAATTTGCTCCAATAACTGCTTCATTTGACTGGAGCCAAACAATATGGGCAACATCACACTCTCTTAATCCACTTCTTTATACAGAACTATGGTTTAGTGGGACAGCAAAATTATAACTATATTTTTGATGCAATTGGCCTAACATTACATTAATATTAAGAAAAATTATATTAAAAATTACGACGTGCTGTTTACTAAAACAGGAATGGTCAGTAACTAGATTATTTAGCTTGTTTCATCACATTTCTGTCTGGTTTGAGAATAATTAGCTGGTAATAATAAAATGGCATTGGGGTGAGTGCAATTTTCCACCAAGGATGTGCAATTACTAAAATTTTAATTGTGGTTACTACTATTCCTCTGATCAGCTACAAAAATCTGTTCAAAAATAATATCACTGGAGCTTGTTTTGCTGCCTTAAAAGTGGTTTTAAAACACATAATTTAACAAACTGCACTATTTCTTACCTCACTGGCAAATAGTTTTGAAATAAGACTAAATTGCATATTGAAACTCAGAAACATTTTGCAAACATTTTACAAACCAATAATCCAGGTTTATCTAGTAAATCTGTAACCTTGTCTGGGATTCAGAATACACAGTACTTCTTCAATATTTTACAAAGATGTAAGTCTGGTCACCAGTGGCTGCTTACAGGAAAAAAGAAAGGAAAGACATGTCACAGGGGACAGAAAAACATGGCAGATTTCTGGACCTGTCACAATAAAAACATTTGAAGCATGATATATTGCTACAGAGAAATATAACAATGAAAAGTAATAGTGAAACTACTTTATGCCGCTGGCACAATAACAATAAAAGCAGGATAATCCCAATGAACAATTTTTCTAAATAGACAGCATTAATTAGCCATAGAAGTTATATAATTAACTTTATTCAGCCAAATCTTAGTCATACAGTAGTATTGTTGTACAACTAAAATAACAAAAATCTCCCCATTATTGCAAAGAATATACACAATAAATACTGAGCCACATAAAATATTCTTACATCTTTCATATATTGAACGATAAGTCGATATAGTAATTATCGTGACAGGTCTACAGATTCCCACAGAATTAACGAGCGAAGCACTAAATCCTATTAATCTGAGGTGAGAGAAATGTCATTTGAGCTCAGTGGAAAAAATAAATGAGATTGCACGTGTTTGGAGGGAGGACACGGGGACCAGCGTGATATACTAATGTATAAGAATTACAGAGAGATGTCATTCTGAATTTGTCAAGCAATCAGTAACCTATGAGAATTCCAGTCCTATGTTACACAAATTTGATCCAAGCCATGTTAGAATGCTCTTACCTCATCAAAAACATACCTGGAGTTGTGTTTTCTTTCATTCACACATGTTTGTGTAATCTTTTATTATTAGTCTGTCTGCATCTTCAAAATGCTCTGCTCCACCTTGTGTTGTCATGAATCAGTAGTATTCAAGTTAACATTTACCTTTGACCTTTGTTCTGGAGAGATTGACAATACCAGGCCTGAAATCATTCAAATTATCTCAGTGAATGTATAGAGTCTAAAACGCACTGGAGCACTTCCTGTATTAACACATGACATCACAAGGTGGAAAAGAGTGTTTTCTGTTTGAGAGAATATGTTTTATATTTTTAATGAGGAACCAGCATTTTAACATAGATGAAAATTGTGTAATATAGGAGTAAATTCTAGTAAATACTCCTTTTCCTTTTTGTGTATATGTGCGTTACTACCTGCTGTTTGCCTATGTTTTTGTTTACAGTGCAAGTTGGAGCAGCAGGCTTGTCTTACAGGGAAGGAGCTGACGATGAGATGCTCCGGTCTGTGTCCTTGTCCCACCGCCGCTCCCGCCACCAAGGACACCAAACGCGGTAAGGACCTGAGCGGAGACGGGGCGGGTGGCACAGAGCACGTCCAGTATAAATAGTAACAATAACAACAGAAGGAGGCTGCAATCATGGTGCCAGCCTGTGCCCGCTGTCCAAGTTATGACTCAGGGTGACTCAGGAGAAGTTGGTGAGATTATGTATTCATGTTTAAAGGTGCAATCTGTAACTTCTAAGGCGAAGGGTCCACTACTTGCTTGTCTCTATGGAGATGTTCTTTCTTTGCCTGGAATGTTCCACCGTAGGGCATTAAACATATATACCTTGCATTAGTTTGATTACAGGTGTTTTATAGCTCAAAAATAGCATAAAAAGCAGGAATTCTTGCCATGTGTAAGCTTGCTTCTCCATAAATCTCACTATTGCCCCGTTTCCATTGTGATTACCATACTGTGAAATAACCAAGGCAAACAGTAATATCTCCATGGAGACAAGCAGGTGGCGGACCCTCCACCATAAGTTACACAGTGCACTGTTAACACTGGAGCTGGACAATACAATGTGAAATTATTATTAGAATTTAAGTAAGGAGTGATCCAGAATTGACTTCTTTTGTACTAAGTCTGAAATTAAATGGTGACTTAAAGAAGCATCGCATAGTGTTTCTGGTGCAGGGAACGCTAACTACTTGTTTCTATGGAGATTAAATTATTAACCTTGATTCTTCCACAGTATGGCATTAAACATGTTTATCTAGCATGAACAGTATTTAATTAGACATGCTTTGTTTTGGTTTTGTTTGTTTTTTTGCTCAAAAATGAACTGAAAAACATGCATTCTTACTGTGAGTGGACTTGCCAATCCACTGTTTGTCTTCATGAATATAAATAAGTTTAATGCCATATTGTGGAAAACTTTATTCTGAACAAAGCTATTTCATCTCAAGCAGGTGCAACCTATATTTAATTCTGAAACTTTATTTTTATTTATTTATTGAATACTATTTTTTTCTCAAATCATGCAGCCTTTTCACATTACAACAAAAATGGTGAATTATTTTCTCTTTACCTTACAGGCTTGACTTTCTGTTGTTTTAACATCAAAAAGCATGGTAAAAGTATATGCATTTAAAAAAAACCTCCTAAACTAGTTTGGAACATACAAACACAGTATACCAAACAGAAAATTTTTATGGTATGTGTAACAGTCAATAAAATAAATAAAATAAAAAACAGTGTTACAACAATAAAAAGTATTAAAACGACTAAATCCCATTAGCATTTGACAGCATGGAAACCCTGAGCCAATTTCCTCCTTTTCCCCACAGAGAGCTGCACCGGGCAGGATCTGGCTGATCTGGGCGAGCGTCTAAGGGACTGGTTCCAGCTTCTGCAGAGCAACGCCAAACAGAACAACAACAGCAAGAGTGGAGCCAAGAGCAGCTCACAGAACTCGGCATCAGGCTAGTGCTTCTCTCATGTAACCTCGCTTAACTTAAAGGTCCCATATTATGCTTTTTACTACTATTATGCTATAATATTGTTTCCTCATCAACAACATACCTGGAGTTTTGTTTTGTTTCATTCACACATGTTAAACACACAAGCCCTGAATATTTAGGCTGTTTTCTATCCAATATAAAACACTGTGATATCAGTTGGCAATACAAGAAGCGCTCCACTGTGCTTTTAAACTCTATACACTTTCACTATAATAATTTGGATGATCTCAACCCTGTATTGAGCTTTGAAGATGTACAGAGACTAATAATAAAGGGTTACTCAAACGTTTGAATGAAACAAAGTGCTACTCAGCAACATTATAACAAAGCTCACAAGAATCCATTTGTTTAATATAGGACCTTTACAAAGATATCTTGAATTAACTTTTTGTTTGAAGTAATCTCTAAAAATGCATTAGATCACCTGGTTTAAATTTTCTATTTAAGAACCTGAAATAAAAGATGTTGAAATGTTTTAAAAGTTCGTACACCTAAAATATAATCTCAGGATGTGTTGACACTTGCACAAACACCACATTCAAATAAAGACAGAACTAAACCTGGACTAGACCTGAACTAAACCAGAACTAGATCAGAACTGAAGTAGGGCTAGTATAGGACCAAACCAAGCCTACATTAGAAAATGGGCTCAAACAAGTGTGAACCCTCAGGTACGAAGTCACATGCTGAAATATTTTTAAGGACCTATTTTGCTAAATTGACTTAAATGAGTCTTTAACCATGGTTTTATTGTCTGTCCTCTTTTTTAACTGAGTAATTCTTACATGTTTGACTCATCCTGCGTTATCCTGCACTCAAGGCTGAGTGCTCAGAAAATTTCTATTTCCACCAACCATTTAGCCCTGCCCACGGCTCTGTACTTGAGATTCTTTTTTAAAAATTCAGACTCAGAGTTAGTATAAAAATGTTCATTAAAAATGTGGCTTCCAATGAATAAAATCATATTCTGTCTGCATTAGAATACCAGAAATAGTATAAAATGTCTTATATAAGTTACAAGAATAAGGTTAAAGGGCCCATATTACGCTATTTTCTGATCTATTTTATAATGTTTTATCCTCATCCAAAACACACAAACCCTATATATTTAGGCTGAATTCTTCTCTCAAACAAAAACACTTGTGTGGTAATACAGGAAGTGCTCCATTGTGTTTTTAATTTGTAAACCTTCATTAGAACCATCTGGATAATTTCAGCCCTGGAATTGTCAATCTTTAATTTGAACTTTGGGGATGTAGATAGACTAATAATAAAGGATTACTCAAACATGTGTGAATGAAACAAAACTCCAGATATGTTTTTGATCAGGTAACAACGTTCTAACCAAAAGATCAGTAAATTTTACATAATATAGGACCTTTAAGGTATACTTCATTGTCCCTGTAGAAAAATGTGACCCATCCTTCAACTATCTACAATGAAATACTAAATCAGGGGTCCCAAAGGATTGAGAAAAAAAAAGAATAATGCATATCTGTCCACTTAAAACCTTAACATGTCATTCTATCATCTCTTACATCTAGAGGCACATTCAGTCTAGACATGATGAGTAAACGCCCAAGCATTCACGCATATATCTCACACATACATACCTTCTATAGCTGTAACCTGAGCTATTGGCATTTGGAAACTACACCATTCTCACTCAGTCTTTTTGTCTCCCTAAAACCTCCGCAGGCATAGCAAATAGCAAGCATATGAAAGGAGTCAACTTCTAAAGGTCATGGGATGCAGCTGAGAAGTTGAATAAATTGTCCTTCAAAGTAATAAAACGGTCAGTGTGTGGGCTCCAGATAAGAACCTGCTCTAATTGAAACCGGAATGGGAAAATCTCATGTCCGAGCCAGATAAAGTTTGCATTTTTGGAGGATGCCATTTTCAAAGGAACAGTGAAAAAGTGAAAGTCTGAAAGTTGGGTGGAAGGTATAACTGATATATTAAAGGTGCATTGCGTAACTTTGCTGGTGGTGGGTCTGTTAAATGCTTTTCTCCATAGAGATGTTATTGCTTTGTCTGAAATGTTTCACAGTACATCATTTAACATATCCATCTTGCATTCATTCAATTAAAGTTATTTTTATTGCTCAAAAATACCTTGAAATACATGCATTTATTTTTACAAAAAGTGGGGTCACCTCTCCATAGATATGATCTGTAACTTAGCTTAGTGGTGTCACATGCTTTTTTTAAGGAACTGGCCAGGTTTAATACCATATAGCAGAACATTCCAGGCAAAGCAATAGCATCTCCATGGGGACTGGGGAGCGGACCCTCCACCAGAAAAGTTACACAGTGCCTCTTTAAGTTATTGCCATTGTCATCTGTTGTAAAACTTATCAAATCTCTTAAAATAACTATGCAACTGACCTGAAACCCACACAGTATATTTAAAGATGCACTATGTATCTTTTTTGTGGAGGGTCCGTCACCTGCTTGTTCCTATGAATATGTCATTTCTCTGCCTAGAATGTTCCACAGTATGACATTAAACAGCTCTCCTTTACATTTATTAAATTACAGGTTGTTTTGTAGCTCACAAGTACATAGAAAAATAGGCATTCTGACTGTGAGCAGGGTTGCCTCTCCACAGATCTGACTTGTAACTTGGAGAAAAGAATTTGACGGACTTTCCACCAGAAAAGTTATGCAGTTCACACTTAAAATGATACCACAAACAATTTAAATGTGTAAAATCAGGTTTAATATTCCTTATTTAAACAGTTTAGTATATTATTGTATTATTTGACCTATAGGCTTTATCATAGACTGTATAAATATATAAAAGGACATATGTAGTTAAGTCACTGGCTGCCACGTTCCAGATAGGAAGTGAGCATGGGCGCGCTTCCGGCTCCATCGACTCTGGCTCCAACAGAAAAACCTCTCTCTCTGTAACTGCTGCTGTGAGACTTGTCATTTTGGTCTTAAAATGGTTGTATTAACCTCTACATGATCTTGGTGTTTTTATTTAGCTATTTTGGCTCTAAATCAGTTCCTATTTCTAAAATGGAACTCGTCTCCAAATTTGCTCCTATAATTGCAGCCTCAGTGAGCTTCATTTGACTGGACCCAAACGCTTTGGATGGCGTCACACTCTCTTAGTCCATTACTTTATATAGTCTATGGTTGTTATGGACAACATTATACCTGCTAGTTTCTGTTGCTAGAGGATTTTTGCCCTTATGATGTCTCTATGAGGTTTTTGGTGAGTCGTGCCAAAATCAATAGTGACAGATCACACAGTGGAAGCAGAGCTGCAGGTGGATGTCAATGACAATGAGGTGTGAAAACTGGAGGACTGTTCTGCTTTTAGATAGAAGGTCTTTGTTTTGATGCTATAAAAAAAAAAAATAACACCAGAAACTGAACATGTAGCTTTTAATACAAATTTGATGTTGTTTTGTTGGATTTTGCACTTTATTAAACATTAGCATTGGCATTGAGACACCACAAAATTATACAGTTTAATTACATTTAAAAATAGATAGTACAGGAAAAAGTAAAGGGTCATATTTTTTGATCATATCTTGAATCATCTTTTGACCCCCAACTTTGAAAACCACTAGTCTATTGTGCCATATAACTAAATACATGAATGTGGCTATTACAAATTAGATGCACCATGTAACTTTTTGATTGGGGGTCCAACACCTGCTTGTTTCTACGGATATGCCTTCTGTGTCGAATGTTCCACAATATGACATTAAACAGTTCTATGTATTCCATTCCAGGTGATTTTATAGCTCAAAAATACCTAGAAAAACAGACATTCTGACTGTGAGCAGGGTTGCCTCTCCACAGATCTGACTTGTAACTTGGTCTGGTTTGGTCATGAAGTCAGAAAGGTTTAATGCCATACTGTGAAACTTTCAGACAAAGCAATAACGTCTCCATGGAGAAAAGCATTTGACAGACCCTCCAGCAGAAAAGTTACACAGTGCACCTTTAATGATTAATCAAAAACAAACCAACATTGCCATTTACCCAAACTTTTCAAATTTCATCGGATTCATTTTTAGGTAATATGATGTTTTCTGCAAAAAGCAAAATATCTCTAGCTTGTCTTTAGGCTGTGCAATTAATTTCATTGTAATCAAATCGAGATGCCATCATTTGAAACTGTCAAAGATCAGTTTTAATCAACAGGTGTACAGCTCATCTCCTGTCAGCAAAACATTTGGTTTTGAACAGCTTTCAGTGGAATACATTTGAATATTTTTGCGTTAAATCGTTGTGATTAAAAGTCTTGTTTTGATTAAGAAATATTTTGATGTTATTTATGACAAATGAAATTCATTTAATCAAAATATGTGACTGATCAGTATGAAAAAAGAAAAATAATAATTCATTTTTTTGCATATCACGCTGTAGTTTAGATTAGGGTTGTTCCGATACCAATGCTGGTATCGTTAAGAGCTCCAACACAACACATTTTTTAGGTATCGTATTGGTAAGTGCTCAGACTAAATCACCAATACCACGGTGTATTTGTGTGTACATCTGTTGCTAATGCTTCTGCTCTGTCAGAAGAATGGATTAGTATACTAGTATCAGCGAGTACACTGAAGCCAAGTATCAGTATTGGATCAGATCCCCCAAAAAATTGTATCACAAGAACACTAGTTTAGATCTCTACAAACATGTTCAGAAATGCATGGGGCTCTTGCATTAGTCTCCAAATTTACTCTGTGAACTATTATATACTATTTTATATTCATGAGTTTATAAATGTCAGAAAAACTACATTACATTTTACCATTGAGTGCTTTCACAGATTACAGCATGGATGAAAACTCACATACATTATGCAAAAGGAATTTCCGTTGGCAGTTGTTTCACTTGTTGTCATGCAAATAGATTTGAATAGGAAACTTCCATAGTATTCACCACGCTCCCAGCTGTGTACGTTTTAATTTGCCAAAACCGCGCCAGTCTGTTGTTTTATTGAGAGCCCAGACATAAAGACTCAGATATGGTTCACGGAAATGTCATACTGAGAATTACTGGTTCACTACTTAGGCACGGTAGTTATGCTTGTGCTAAGGAACCTAAAGAATTTTACACAAACTAAGCCTATGTTTAAAGGTGCACTATGTAATTTTTTGGTTGTGGGTCCATCACTTGCTTGTTTCTATGGATACGCCATTGCTCTGCCTGAAATGTTCCACAGTATGATATTAAACAGTTCTACTTTGCATTTATTCAATTACAAGTGGTTTCATAGTTCAAAAATACCTAGAAAAACAGGCAGTCTGACAGTAAGCAGGGTTGCCTCTCTATAGATCTGACCTGTAACTTGGCCTGGTTTAGTCTCCATGAAGATAAAAAGATTTAATACATACTGTGAAACATTCCAGACAAAGCAATAACATCTACATGGTGAAAGGCGTTTGAAAGACCCTCCCTCAAAAGTTACGCAATGCACTTTTAAAGTTGGTGAAGCTGAAAAAAAAAAAAAAAGTTAACAGTTAGAAATAACACTTACAAATAAATTTTAAACAGTTGGTAGTGGTCCAGAGTTCTTGCTCATTTACCGTATGCTTTCTGAGCATCTTCATTATTCATCACAATGAGTTTCATTACTCTCAGGGACCAGAATCGAGTTTTGTCGTCACAGTAAAGCTATCAACAACTAGCATGCTAACACACACTTCCTGATTATCAGACAGTAAACACTGCAGCTTACTTATTTTGACTTCAGGAGCTGCTTATACAATATATCTGTACTGGGGCAAGACAGAGCTTTTTCAAATACATGGGAGGCAATTGGGTAGAGGGACGTTAAGCTGCTTACTGTTCCAGTCCTGTAAAATATTATTCATCATTGTGATTAAATGACCCATATTATCCTATTTTTGATCTATGTTATATTGTTGTTTCCTCATCAAAACATACCTGGAGTTGTGTTTTGTTTCATTCACACATGTTTAACCCTCAAACTCAGCATATTTTGGCTGAGTTCTTCTCTCAAACTGAAAACACTCTGTCCCATCTTGTGATGTCATGTGGTAATACAGAAAGTGTTCCACTGTTTTTAAACTCTATGCACCTTCATTAGACTGATGCTGATGATTTCAGCCCTGGAATTGCCAATCTCTACTGAACTAAAGGTTAAAGGAGCCATTAATTTGGAATACTACTGCTTCATGACATGACAAGGTAGAACAGAGCATTTTGAGCTTTAGAGATTTAGACATACTAATCAAACTCAAACAAAACACAACTCCGGTATGTTTTTGATAAGGAAACAACATTATAATATGGCTTAAAGCTCACAAGAGTCAGTTTAGTGGATCAGTAAAGTCCTTAGCATAATATAGGACCTTTAAGATAAAACTTTTTACCTATAGAACCCTACTCTAATTTTGCATACTTTGCTAAATATGAGCCAAAATGTCAGTTGAATGATTAGTGGGCCAGAAACCACAATGTTGGAGAACTGCATGAGGTGTTTGCAAAGTTGTATCTGGGGAGCTGACATTAAAAAAAGACATATTGTGAAAACAGTCCCAATCTCTTTAGAATGAATGTGAGAATAAAATGTGCTTGGTGATCCTTTCTCTGTATGCTGGCCTCAACCCAAAGAAAAGCAGAGAAAATGAAATCTCGAGATCTCCCAGCCCTAGTGCTTTAATTGTGTTCCCTCTGTGTCTGTGTGTATTTGATTAGCCAGAGTAAACATAGATGTAGTGACTCTCATAACATAAGACACAACAAATTAAAATGCCCTCTGCCGCTCGCACAACCGCCTTCACTACAAAGCATTCAATTCAATGGAAATTAGCCTCACACTGACAATGACCATGCTGCTGTTATTTTCATTTCAAAATACTTTATGAAATGCCCCACTATTGCTAGCAGAGGGCGATAGACAGCTAATTCAACTAAATTAGTTTCAGAAATGTATGTTTTTGTTACGAATAGCTTACATAAATTAGAATAAGTTAATTAGATTTGCAATTTAAGTGTTGCAATCAAGATTCAATTCTAAGTCCTCATTGTACTTACAGCCAACAGTGTTCCCTGATTCCCTCTTTTATGAGCTTTTAACCAACATTTTTAACTTGGCTAAAAGCCAAGAAGCCATAGAAGTAAATTTATAACTAATAGTAGGTCCCCTTTAAATAATTGGAGCCTGTGATATTTGCTAATTCAGTAAAACATAAAATATCTATACAATGGTGTCCAAAAATTCATAATCAAACTAAATAGTAAAATATCATATGGGCATGACTTTATCCCCCAGTGGATCTCATATTGTTGTTGTGTGTGTTATGTGTGTGTTTGTGCAGTGCTGGACAGGAGCCTGGGGGCCAGCTGTAAGGACTCCATAGGCTGGATGTTCTCCAGACTGGACACTAATGGAGACCTGTACCTGGACCAGGCCGAGCTGGCTGCCATCAACCTGGACAAATATGAGAGCTGCATCCGGCCTTTCTTCAACTCCTGCGACTCCTACAAGGACGGGAAGGTGTCCACAGCCGAGTGGTGCCTCTGCTTCTGGAGAGAGAGTGAGTCCACACCATATACTGATTATATACAAACAAAATAAATGAAATGACCCATTGTGTTCCGAACAGGCTCCTTGTTTTGGTTTTAAAATGTTCATATTAACCCGCTCTGCATGATCCTGGTGTTTTTATTGAGCTATTTTGTTTGTACATGAATTCCTATTTGTAATATGGAACTAGTATCTCCAAATTTGCTCCTGTAACCGCTATAACTTCTCCTTCCATGAGCTTTCTTTTTTTTTTTTTTTTTTTTTTTTGAATAATGTTTCTACCAAGTTGCTGCTCCTTGCATTCGTACCTTTGGTGTGTTTTCTGTTTCATTTAATTAAGATGAGAATACTAAACCATGGATAAAGTAGTTCTAAACTAGAAAAGCACTCAGAGAGCGCAGACCTCCGCCAAGGACTACCCCCATTTTTTATATAAATTGCGATAAAATCAGTCTTCTGGATCAGATCCGGATCAGCCTGTGGAATATGAAAGAGGATCCCATTGTCCATCCCTGAGTCAAATTTCATGGGGTTTGGTCAATAATTAACCGAGATATTGAGAAACAAAATTTTTGGCCCCATTGACCACAATGTTAACAAAAATTTCAAAGTGACCCAGAATCCAGGATTTCTTCCGGATCACCCCCAAAATGAAATCAGTTCTTCCTTTTCACATTTCCAACAAATCCTGAAAATTTCGTCAAAATCGGTCCATAACTTTTTGAGTTATGTTGCTAACAGACAAACAAACAAACGCTGGCAAAAACATAACCTCCTTGGCGGAGGTAATAACAATTAACCCAAAAGAGGGCATAAATATGAATAGATTACTGTTAGTCTCTAAATAATTTATTTTAATGTCTTTCTTATTCTGTAAAACATTTGGAATTACTTTGTGTACGAATTGTCCTATACAAATAAACTTGCCTCCCCTGCAAGGGGCCACGCATACCACACCTAGAGACCCCCCACGTACCATAGTTTGAAAAACACTGACACAAACCAAGCCAAAAAATCCAACCTGCTCCTTTCCTGCCCTGCACTTGGGTTTGAACATATCTACCCCTCCTCAGGCCTCATAACTTCACATTGAGGTGAGCTGACATGCTATAATCCCCCAGCAGATCTCTCATACTTGGAGATATCTTTGTTGTACCATACTACTGTACTGAACTGAACTCTCGGCCCACTTCTCTCTCAGCCCTGTGGGGAACATTGTATCCAGGAGGCAGTACACATCCCTGCTGCTTGCCGACAGCCTGTTGCTCCTAAAATCCTCTGAAGCTGAGTGAGTCTACCACAGAGCCATGTCCAAAAGAAATAAAGCTGGAATTATTTTAGAGAAGCAGAGGAGAGCTATCTATAGAAACAAAAGGCATTGTTGTGGTGGTTGAAAAGAAAGAGGTTTTAAAACGTGTGGAGAGGAGACTAGTGTGCACCCCACGCAGGCGCTTTAAAAAGAAAATATTGATTTGCTAGTATTACAAGTGATCACAAAAATCTCATCACTGGCATAGGCCTATTTCAGGGTAACGTAGCCACAGTATGTAACTTTTTAACCAGAAAATAGACTAAAATAAAACGCATATATATTTTTTGGTAAGATAGGTTGTATTTATTGCATTGAAAATTGTATAAAAACATACGTTCTTACTGTGACTGTGGGCTTGCATTTCCACAAACCTGATTCTTATGTGGCCTGGATGAGGGCCTTCTCCAGTTTGTTTTCATGAAAGTGTTGTTACTGTTGATTGTCCCCGAATATGGCTGCTTGCGAGGGAAAAAAAGATAAAAAATATCACAGGGGACTCAAAAACATGACTGAAAAGTCATTTTATTTGAAATGATGGGTATGCTCCTTCTTTTCTCATGTGTCACTGAAAAATAAATAAAAAATCTGTTTGCGTTTGGTTCTGCCTCTAGACATGAAAAAAAGAGAGACATCATTCTGGGTTTGCCAAGCATCAACCTTTCAGGCCTGGTTCTTGAAATGTTATAATGTCTAGAAGCATAACGCACGGCTCCAAGTTGTATAATGTGTTTATACCACAGCTACAAAATGAAATGTCTCACTTGTGAATGTGAAAAGCCTGTTCCCTGTCTGTAAATGTCCAAAATTTCAGTTCTTTCAATGTTTTAAATGATGCTAGGTACTATATTCTACCTACAGTAGCTGAGCATTTCTTTCCCCAGGGATGGCAGCAGAGCAGTGATATAGAACAGTGATTTGGTTCTTGCCGGACTACTTGTGCGTTATGCAGTATTAATGCACCACAGTTAGCCACTGGAATTCTCACTGACTGTGGTAAACTGATTTTAACCATCCCAGCTCTGGGCTTTTTGAACAGAAATTTTCTATTGCAATTTCAATGAAGAATACCACTTACAACAAAAGACACTGGTTTGTGCACCCCTAAAATATCTTTCTTTTTGTTTTCTTCTCCAGAGCCTCCGTGCCTGGCTGAATTGGAGAGAATCCAAGTGCTGGACGGAGGCAAGAGGAAGTTGGGTAAGTCTCAGTTAGAACAACGCGATTGGACGGGCTCTGTTTTGGTCCGGGGGCTTTTGGTCCAAACAGATGACAAGCAGGAGGCCAGGATTAGTGCAAGATGTCTTCCTCGGATTAGAACGTCATTATAACAGCCGGCACAGAGAAGCTGGCCATAAGTGTGTAAAATGTACTGTGTGTATGTGTTACAAATAGGCCGAGGTGGGTGGAGTAGCTAGAAGCTAGTAGTCAAGGAAGAGTACCATTACTTCAAATGGTACTCAAGTACAAGTACAAAGTTAAAAAGTACTACTACTCAAGTAAGAGGTACTAAAATAGTGCCTGTCTGGATGTAATATCTGATTTATAATATGAAGTTAAAGGTGCTGAACCAGATTTTTTAAAATGTGAATAACAGAACTAGTTAATTTTAAATTGTTTGCTGTGGTCTAAAGTTATTCCTCACTTACCTTATGCATTCTGAGAATTATTCACTGCTATGAATTTGTAATGAGTGCTTTTCACAACTCTTCAAAAACTTGTTTTCTACTACATATTGCCAATCTCTACTGAACTGAACTTTTCTACTAGTACAAACAGTACACAGCAAACTTATTTTGACCTCAAGAGCTGCTTATAAATATATAGGATTATAGGCACTTAAACAAAGTTGGAAGGACAAAATATTATATAATGCACAACATCTAGTATTGTCAGAATTAGAAAAACTAAACCATATCTTTGGTTTTGATGCAAAAAACACAAATGTTCTAATCAATTCATATTGTCAACATAAAGCTTTTGTCACTTGTAGATGGTCTTACTGTTTCTTAGTAAAATATTATTCAAATAGGGCCAGAAATACTGATACAGTTACATTGAAAAGTTACTTAAAGGACTTAAAGGTGCACTATGTCACTTTTTGGTTGGGGGTTCGTCACCTGCTTGTTTCTATGGAGATGTCATTGCTGTGCCTGGAATGTTCCACAGTATGACATTAAACAGCTTTCCTTTAACATCTCCATGGAGAAAAGCATTTGATGGGCCCTCTACTAGAAAACTTACACAATGCACCTTTAAGTAACTGAGCACTAACCACCCCTTCAAACAGGTTGGCAGTGTCAAGCTTCTCCAAGGACAAGACGCAAAGGAGAGAGAGGGAGATGGAGAGAGGGGCAGTGAGTTGTGATGTGCGTTTGAAACATGGTCACTTCCAGGCTGTGTGGCCACTGCTGTTATGAAGAAAGCCTTGCTCATTTGTTCTCTCCATTTGCGATAATGTAGAGAGGGAGAGAGAGAAGAGAGAGGAAGTAAGTGTAGGACCACGACAGAGCCATCCATCTTTAATGAGTCTGCTGCTCAAGAGGGTGAATCATTACCTGAGAGAACAGAGTGCTCTATACAGTTATGTGTCATGGTCACTCTTGTTCAAAATGGGTCTTGGCTCTTCTCAGCGTACACTGCAGAATGGCAATCTTAGTAAAAACATTGGCTTAAAGGTGCACTGTGTAACTTTTTGGCTGGGAGGCCGTCACCTACTTGTTTGTATATGTATATGCCATTGCTCTGCCTGAAATGTTCCACTGTATGACATTAAACAGCTCATGAAATTGTGAGCTTCAAGTCATGTTAGAATGTTTTTACCTCCTCAAAAACATACTTGGACTTGTGTTTTGTTTCATTCACACATGTTTGAGTAACCTTTTATTATTAGTCTGTCTGCATCTTACAAGCTCAAAATGCTCTGTTCCACCTTGTGATGTCATGAAGCAGTAGTTTTGTAGTTAACAGCTGCCTTTTACCTTTAGTTCATTAGAAATCGGCAATTCCAGGGTTGAAATCATCCAAATGATTCCAGTGAAGGTGCATGGAGTTTAAAAACACATTGGTGGAACAGACAGTTTTCTCAGCCTAAATTTGCAGGTGTGTTTGTGTGTTAAACATGTGCGACTGAAACAAAACACAACTCGGGGTATGATTGTGATGAGGAAACAACAATGTAACATAGATCAGAAAATAGTGTGATACGGGCCCTTTAAGTAGTGCCGTACAAATCTCACAAAGGTTTTACAAGTTTTACCAACTGCATAAAACAGCTAGAATTTGTATTGCCTCAGCTGGACAAAATATAAGTTTGTACACTGAAAAATTGCATTATAAATCTGAAACATTTGCAAACCAGACAAAGAGCTGTTGTGATGAATGAACTTCACTTTTCAAAATTATGACCCAAAGCAGTCGAGAAACAAACTGTCTGCACATTTTCTTGTTTATGTAATTGTTGTAAAATTGAAACTTTTCCCCACCTCCTTGGTCCTATAATGATTAGCTCAGGGCTCTCTGCGGAGACCACAACCTGCTGACTTATTGCTTACCTCCCTCTAGCTTTCTCTCTCGTCTTCTGCCCCACTCTCTCTCTCTTTCTCTCTTTCTTTCTCTCCTTGTCCCACACTCCTTATCTCTCTCTTTTGCCGTCTCCCCCTTTTTTCTCTCTGTTTCTCTTTCTCCTTTTCACCCACTTTCTCTCTCTCCCTCTATCTCTTTCTTTCTGTATCTGTTTCTCTCTCTTTTTCTCCCCTATTTTCTCTCTTTCTCTCCCTTCTCTCTCACTCCTAGTCTTTCTCCTTCTCTCCCACTCTCTCGTTCGCTCTCTACGCCCATTTTCCTTTTCTTTCTCTCTCTCTCTCCTTTTCCCCCACTCTCTTTCTTTCTCTCCCCTCCCCCCTCTCTCTCTCTTCCTCTCCATCTTTCTCTTCTTCCCTCTCTCCTTTTCTCCCCTGCATCTCCCTCTCTGTCTCTCTCGCTCTGTGTCTCTTTCTCCCCCCTCTCATTTTCTCCCCACTCTCTTTCTCTCCCTCCCTCCCTCTCTCTCTGTCTTTCTTTCCATCCCTCTCTCCCTCCCTCCCTCCTCCCATCCCTCTCTCCATTTATATTCATAGGATACAGAATGAGCTGCCACATATACATGCATTACATTCTCTCGTAGTCTTGGCTTTACGAGATAAGCCATGATGCCATTTGTTTATCCGCTTTGACAATACGTGGCCCATATTTCATTCAGTGTGTTTAGTTTTACTCTCTCTTTTTTTCTTCAGATTTGTAAAAATAACTGTGACATCGTGATTCTGCAATATCAGTTTCACAAAAATATAATGGTTGGTTATAGTATTGTATTTCTATGCAGTAGATGTTTAGTTTCAGTATACACTAAAGAATGGGAACTACATTGACCATGATCCTTTGCACTGTTTTGATACAGCCAATATGAACAAATTACTACATTTTAAATCTCAATCATTTTGAGATCATAATGCTAGGACTCAAATTTTGCGGTAAAAGTAGCACAATTTTCTATAATACTGTTACAAAAACCTCATATGTCACGAACAATAGATACAATTTATGGCATTTTCATGGATTTCCTGTTTACAGCTACCCTCCGCTCAATTTAATTTCTCTCCAGCAACTAGGTCAGGAATCAAAATACATTAGACGGTTCGCAAAAACCCCGAAGTGCGAGCTTGGGCATCAGCCAATCAGGGAAGAGCCATATAATGTTGTCAATGATTCCCGAGATTGAGGATTTAAAGCCGGAATAAAGAGAATGTTTGGTGAATTTCATCAAGGGGAAAGACGTTACTGTCCTTCTTCCTACAGGATTTGGGAAAAGCTTAATATACCAGTTAGCCCTTTTAGCGGCGCATTGCATACGTCACGACCAAATAGCAGCGATTGGTTAAATGATAAAAAGTACCCAGACAAAGGTTTGTTTTGGAGCTCATTCAAGCTGCTTCTTCAGTTCTGGTCAGAATGCTGATGGATAGCATATGTCTCCCTGAAGGGAGGAGCTAACTACACTGAAACTACTCTGAAACTAACACACCTACTTGTTTAGTTTGTGTTTGTTGGCTAAGTCTATTTATTGAACTGCTACTACACAAGTGTGAACTGTGCCTGAGTCATATTAGCATATTCGTTCAGGCCCCTGATGGGAGCTCTCACACCTATTAGTATACTGGCTGTCACTATTGTTTTCCATGTTTTGATTTACGTCTGAGGATGGAGTTGTAAATAGGAGATAAATGATGTCTAAGCCCCTCACTCTAGTTCAAAGATGGATTGTCTTTCCTAATAACAAATGCCTCCCTCAATTTCCTTTCAAACCATTTATTTTCTTTGGCTAAGATGAGCTGTGAAATGTCTTTGTCCAGTTGGAAGAATTAAATTTTCTTTTGCTATGGATCACATCTAGATGACTGAGGGATTACAGAGACATTATTATTTCATATTATTATAAATTATGAAAAAATTATAATCCTATATTGTCAGAATTTTTATTTTAATTGTTATACTATAATTAAATATAATATTTTTCATCACAATCAGCATTACTGCTACTCAAGTGGGCATAGATGTATTTACCATAGACTGTATAAGGAAGTGGACTAAGGGAGTGTGACGTCACATAACATTTGGCTCTAGTCAAATGAAGCTCACAAGGCCAGGAGGTATGGGTCAAATTTTGTGGCGATTTCCGTATTAGGAATAGCATTTTATTTACGGACAAAGTAGTGAAATAAAAACACCAGGATCTTGTAGAATGGGTTAATGTGAACATTTCAAGACAAAAATGAGGAGCTTGAGAGCAGCAGTTATGGAGAGAGGAGCAAAGTTTTTTTCAATAGAAAGTGAATTGGAGCTGGAGTTGATGGAGCCGGAAGCGCATCCATGCTCACTTCCTATTTGGAACATGGTAGCGAGTGTGTTAGTTATTGTCCATTTTTATAAACAGTCTGTGGTCTTACTTTGTGACACACCAACAATAACTCCTCTCACAATCAAACCAGCTACCCTCCAGTTTATGGGCGATAGCTTAAAGCACTACAACACATCCACCCTTGCTATTTTACCAATAAATAAGTTGTATTCTGATTTCTTTTTCCATTTCAGGTCGATTCATCCCGAGCTGTGATGAGGACGGATACTACAGGAAGCAGCAGTGTGACCGGGGGGAGTGCTGGTGCGTGGATCAGGAGGGGGGAGAGGTGGCGGGCTCCAGGATCCGTGGCAAGCCTGATTGTAGTAAGTCATATATGCATGTACTGTATATGTCAACGCTGTTGCAAATCAAACCCCCAACACCAAAGATCTGGAAGTGTGGGAAGAATATTAAAGGAGCTGTACCTGATTTTAACTGTCCAACAAACATGAAAAACAGGACCAGTTCATTTTAAACAGCTTACAGTGGTTCAAAGTTATTCCTCACTAATTATTCAGCGCAATTCAGAGTTTTCTCATTACAGTAATGCCAACAACAACTAGCATGCTAACCACTTTCTGATTGTCTGACAATAAAATGCGTAATTTGTAAAGTTTGCAGCTTTTGTCCAAAGTTTGTCCTCACATAACTAATTCACTTTTGCATTCTGAGCATTCTAATTATTCATTGTGATGAGACTATGAGCACTTCTTACAACTGACACACTCTTCCTGATTCTTGGATATTAAAACTGTGCGCTACAGATGACACTGTACCAGATTTTTACCATTTAAAAACTGTGGAAAACAGACCTAGTTCATTTTAAACAGCTTTTAGTAATCCAGAGTTATTCCTCTCTTAGCTTATGCAATCAGAGCATTATTCATTATTCACCATGATGAGTTTATAAGCACTTCTCACAACTTTCAGCATCCACAGAAGAGTCACAGTAATTGCCCGCTTCCTAATTCTCAGATGATAAAACACTTAAAATTAAATGCAGACTCACACAGCTAACTCATTCTGACCTCAAGAGCTCCTTACTCCTTACAGCTCTTTCCACAATACTGGAGCAAGACACATTTTGCTCAAACACATGGAAAAAAAAAACACATACAAGCACTTTAAGACACACAAAATGGCTGCCGTTGTTTTTCGCCCCACTTTTCTGCTTCCCCCCACATGTACTGGACAGCTTTATGTGTACAAGCTGAACATAAGTCACTGTGGGGGAGCGGTGGGACATTGGGGGCGTCTGGAGTCATTTGCATGCTAAAGCTAGGGCCTGTCGCTAGCGGAGAAGTGCGTGGAGATGAATGAACGCTGCACGGTCACACTGAACCGGCTCTGATAAGAATGGATCCCCTGGCAAGGTTTGGGAACAGCTATTAAAATCAAGACAATGTCAAACGCACGCCCCTTTTAGCCGCTAGACTGAGCAGTGAATGGGGTGTGCATGTGGTAATAGAAATGCAATTTGCTTTGGGTGATGTCTTTAGTGGTTTGCGTACTGGAGCTGGTTTATTGTCCTGTGTCAGATGCCCTTCCACTCTTGGCACAGTTAGCAGAGGTTTGGGACCAATGTAAATGTGAGCTTATAGCTGGGGAGTTGACCTTCTGGAAACGGGGTTTATGATGAATATGTCAGGGCTCAAACAAATGATTATTTGAGTAGATGAGGTCAAAATTACAATTTGAATGGATGTAATTAGCACATTGTATAGACTCCAATTATTTAAGTAACATAATGAAAATGAAACAAAATAAGTACTACCGGAGGTATTTTGTGTTTTTTGTAACTAAATATAATGTCCCCAAATATAGCTTGTGTTTGAATCTTTTTTGTCTGTTAATCTGTTAAATCCGATTAAGAAAATGGTCGGTTATTAAAAAAAAAAAATGTAAAAAAAATTAAAGAACCAGTATTGTTATCAGTATTTAAATATGCTCTTGAGTACCTTAGCTTTGGCATCTCATGTTTTAAAACTTAAAATAATCTCTAATTAAAGAACCACACATTATTTCACAGCTTCAGTGGGGCTCTATCTACTGGGAACATGGGGAAAAATAATCTTGGCTAATAATGAATATGCCCCAAGATGTTAACGTAAGAGCACAGTTGTACTTAATGTAATTTGATCTAGCAATGATTCATGAACTAAAAACAAGGTTTCTACCTGTGACGCAACAATCCTGAATAATTCAAAACTGAAATATTGTTTGAGGTTTAGATGCAAAGGGCTTTTTACAGAAGATTTCTGAAACCATCTTGACATAGGACCTCATTTCCTAGTCAGCCAGAGTGTTGGAGATGTGTGGAGACACTTTTTAAAATATTCCATCCAGTCCTTGTATTTGGAGAGATTGCTGGGACTAGGTTTAGTTTTTAGTTTAGTTTATTTATTTAATGAGACAGGGACAGTGCACAATATACATTAACGTTAATAGGAGAGATGCGTTGTACCAGGTTATAGCACCAGTGCTAATTTCCACCTGTAGTCCCTGGGCAGGTTAATTGATTGAATGTATTTTTAATTGACCTATATAGCATGTTTTGGGTTGCTAGCGCTAGGCCAGCGTATGTCATTAGACATAGTTAGCTTGCCACTAAAAACAGTCTTACCCACTCCACAAAACACCCGAAGCAAAACTATTATTACGACTAGACTATTGATGTAAAAGTCTGTGTTGATAATGAAATAAATCTGAAATAAAACTAACCTTGCATCGCATGAATCGTCACATGTTGAGGGACTATTTTCTCAGCAGGAGTGGAATTTTGCTTTGCTAGTAAGACAGGTGATATCAATTCGTCGCTGCCAAGCTTTCTATCAGGAAGTACAACTCGCTGCTGCTGCTCAGACATAAATCCTTCAAATGCAAGGTTGGTTTTACTTCTACAATTATTCTATCGACAAAGACATTTAGATCGACAGTCTGGCATAATAATAGATTTGCTTCGGGTGTTTTGTGGAGTGGGTAAGTCTGTTTTTAGTGGCAGGATAACTATGGCCATTGACATGCGCTAGCCTAGCACCAGCGACCTCTGCAAATACAAGGACTGGATGGAATAGGAAATGAGGTCCTATGTCCAAAATTCTGGACTGTCCCTTTAAGATAAATGCAACTCCAGGTATTAGTTTTATGAAGGAACAAAATTATGGTTAAAATCTCCAGAAAGTTAAATTTGCATACAATGTGTCCAAATAAGTCACAGTTGGATTTGTTTTCTTGTTTTTCTGTTACCAGACAAACCTTTGAAATACACAGGAAGATCTTTCGTATTTTGATCCAATATCTTGATCTTTGATGTTTTGGAGCATTCAAACGGTAGATCATAAATATATTGATCTAAGGATGCTGGTATAACCTTGACCATGTTCCCACTTACACACATACATCAAAAACAGGAATACATCGGGATTGAACCTGAACTAGCAAAGGACTAAACCAGGGCTAGAGGATTGTACCGGCTGAACCCACGCTCTAAACTCCAGCCTCATATCATAATTGTATCTCCAAAAAGCAACATTGAAAACATGACAGATGAAAAATTCCCGTAATGCTGCTTTAAATTGATTCTAGCAATCCCAGTTCAAAGCCAACTGTCAAAGCTGACGGCAACGAGCTGAAATGAAGTGATACTACTGCAATATATATATGACGACCCCCTAGTGGCTAATCCAATCACCTCTCCACTCATCCATCTCTCTCTCTCTTTCGCAGATGATGAAATGACATATTCGGGCGATTTTGGCAGCGGGGTCGGATGGGAGGATGAAGAGGAGAAGGAAACCGCGGAGGAAGCCGAGGAAGAAGAGGGGGAGGCGGGAGAGGCGGACGACGGAGGGTATATCTGGTAGGGCTGGGAATGTGTATCCAAAATATCGACATTAGGAGCGTCACTACTGTTCCAGACAACACGAAAATCTCAGATAAAAAGAGGCCGAAAGTGGTGCACGAGTAAGGAGGCTGTATTGTAACGTACTGGGGGTGTTTAATGTAAAAGAATGTTAAAACGGGGGTATATTTGGGAAAAGGGGTTAAAAAAATCACTGTAGACATTGCCGGCTCTGCATTGAAGAGTTGTGTCTCTCATACTTGTGAATATTTGTTCTATTCTGTATGTCTTAACTGATCTTAAAGCCGTTTTAGCTGACGCAGGTGCTCGCAAAACATATGGGTGCATTTTATCTGTCTGAATTGTTAATGTTCGAGTTTGCCTTTCAAATGAGTGGTTCTCAAATTTGCCCCCAAAAATGTTATTGTAATGTATATTATATGATTATTATGCTGTCATGAATGGTCACAAGAATGTAGCTGTTTTGTAAACGCCAGTGTTTTTTGCAGATAGCCTGGATAGCCATCTAGACTTCTCTTTGTATTCTATATAGAGTTAGTTAGTCTTGTGCTGCTTTGATTGAATGCTGTTTTAAAGTGGTACTAAACACCCAATTTCAAATAAAGCTGGTAACTCGGGCAGTACCTAAAGGGCGAAATAGTGATGGGAGAAGAGGGGCAAGGTCTAGAGGTTTAAGGAACAGTGTGATTGGTCTAAGAGGTACTTGCATTACAAACTAAGCCCCTGCAGCAATGAGATGTTTTTGCCTAGAAAGCTGCAAATTTACCAAAAAGAACTAGGAACAGTACACAAAACTAAGTTAAGTAGCAAAAAACATGCATTGGGTAAACCACTCAGAGTAGTATGACGTATTTACCTGTTTATTTTCCTCCCTATGAGTGGAGACAGCTGGTACATTAGCCTAAATAGCATTGCAGCCTTTTTAGAACTCGCAGATAATGTGGTATTGTGAAGTAACAAAAGACAGATCTAATGCGGCTGACATTTTTTATTTGAATGGTGGCAAGAATACATCGGATGAGATCAAACCTGACCTGGAACTGTCCCAGACTCACTTTCTCTATACAGAATACATCATGGACAAAGTCAGATGACCATCCAGGCAACCCAAATATGAGACGAGGTTCAAAACTGGGCCATATAGCTTTAGTATTGTGATAGAATATTCCTGAAGCCTACATGTTGCTTCCTTTCCTTCAGGAGCATTGCTTTTATACCAGATGCCCTCTCTCAAAACTACTCAATTTAACCAGGCATTGGACCAGCACAATTAGCGAATGCGATGCCTCAACACACCAAGATGTACGATCGCAACAACACTGGCGTTTTCACATTTAAGTCCTTGAAATGTTTGGGAACCACTGCATGCGAAAAAACTGTTATGTTTTTGACAAATTGCTAAAATATGATATTAGATCGTTTTTAAAAAAGCACCCTTTGAAGACATCATTTCCATCGGCTTGGGCTCTCGTGTGTGCAGTCTTGCTGTCTCATCTGTCACACCTCACTCTTAGCTTGTATATACTGTATCCTCCAAAACAGCTCACATCCTAGTCTTGTTACACTAGGAGAGATTAGCAAAAACGCGCGGTTCGGTTGACAACTGTACATCGTGTCATATTGTGGATCGATTATTGTGTTTATTACAAAAAAGAAATAAAAGATTCTTGTCTATGTGGCTCCAAAGGCCACCGTACATCAACGTCTGCTGTATTGATTTCGTTAGTGGGACAGTGCATAATCATTAAGGGGATTGTGTCGTGAAATAATTAGCCGTCTGGATGTGAAATGTCCCTAATTTATTATCATAGACTTGCACTTGAAAATGAGCTGAAATGGTTAGCTCCTAAATGTGAAATTACATGGTTTTGTTGCAGCAGAATTGCCAAAAGATGACTACAAAGGCTATGATCCTTTGCTCTATATTAGTACAGTCAATTAGACAAAGTACTACTGCTACAAAGTAATACTGCTATTTGTAAACATTTATTTTGCATTAAATGGCAAGATTGGTTGTTTTATTCCTGGCAATTGTAGTACATTAAAGGTGCACTACAGAACTTTTCTAGTGAGCGTTTGCTGTCTGCTTGTCTCCGTGAAGATGTTATTGCATTGCCTGGAATGTAACACAGTATGGCATTAAAGTTATCTGTCTCTCAATTACAAATGTTATTATTGCAAAAAAATACTTTGAAAAAAAAAACATGCATTCTTATTGTAAGTGGGCTCGCCTCTTCACAGATCTGACCTCTTACTTAGCCTGATGGCATGACCTGCTTGTCTCCATGGAGAGAGACGAGTTTAATGTCTTAAGACGAGCGTAAACTGCAATTTTTGGCCCTTTTTGAGCCGATTTTGCACTTGTGCGACTGTTTTTGGAATCAGGCCGACTTTTGGCTTAATCGTGTGTCCTGCTGGGGTAACAAGGACCGATTAATACCACATAACCAACTCCCGATCAGCAATCATAGATCACAAGAATATCAAACCTATGTGAAATCCAGTCGCCTCTCATTAGGGTTTCGCATCCAAGCATCAGATCATATAGTGTGAGAACATGAATCGTGAGCTATGAACTTTTAAACCCTGCGATTTGGCCGTACAGTTTAAGCTGAGGCTGAGTGAAACGACTGAAAATACCACACAGTGTATGTCCGGCATTAGTGTGGAACATTCCAGTCACAGCACTAACATCTCTATGGAGTCAAGCTGCACCAGATAACTTACATATTGCACCTTTATGCAGCATTTAGACAATACTGAAATAAATATACTACGTTGTCATGAGCATCATCAAAGTTTTCATGCATTCTGAAATTCTAAAAATTCAGGCATTATGCGAGTGGTCAAGGTTGGGGCCTGTCTTCCATTAGGCTGTGTGATGACAAGGAATCTGGCAAACAGTGAAATTATAAAATGTAAAATGGACTTCAGAGGAAATGCTTTTAGTTTCTCTCCTTTGGCCCTATTCAAGGACACTAAGAAGTCAGTGCTTTAAACAGGCTGTAGATGTTAACGGTGTAATATAGTGTGCCCCCATTTGAGACTCAGTTCATCTCTTTGAATTAGACACAAGGTTAAAGCCGCAGTACGTTAACTTTTTTCTCTCTCTATATATATATGTACTATTCTTTGTAGACACTTACTTTCTGTTAAACAATAATATAATACAGTAATGGTGCACTGTGCAACTTTTTAGTGAGGGTCTATCACTTGCTTGTCTCCATGGAGATGTTATTGCTTTGCCTGTAATGTTCCACCGTACGGCATGAAATTGATCTATCTTCCGTCAATTCAATGTCCGTTTTTTTTGCTGAGAGAAAAACCCTGAAAAGCATGATTTCCTGCTGTAAGTCGAAGTCACCTCTCCAGAGATCTTATCAGTAACAGCCTGAGTGGAGTCACGTGCTTGTCTCCATGGAGATATATAAATGAAATACCATGCAGTGGGACATTCCAGGGAAAGCAGTAGATTCTGAAGAGCAGATCACAGAACAGATCCCACACCAAAAAGTTACGCAGTGCACCTAAAAAATGTGTGTAATAAAATAAAATTAAATAAGTATATAAAAAATAATAATAATAATAATACAATATAAAAAATAAAATATTTAAAAAATTTTTTTTAAAAAGTAAAAAATAGTAAATATAAAAAAATAAATTAAATTAAAATAAAAAAATAAATAAATAAAATTATCTGTATCAAGATAGCAGGCCTATTTTGTAATGTGAGTTCTTTGAGATAGCATAGACCCCATTTCACGAGGGCGTCACCACAGCCCTCATTTGGAAAGGCAGACGGGGACAGTGCATTGGAGACTTTGTGCAGTTCTAAATCAGGCCACAGAAAACCTGGAACTAAAAATGTGAACTACTAAAACATCCTTGTGCATGTCTGGGTCACTCATACAGTCAGATATACTGTCAGAAAATGCCGTATATTTAAATAGCTGGTCTATAGTATGAATAAAACAGCAGTTGTATGATAGCTTTTGAACTAAACTGAATGAGTTGTGTTTACTTGTTTTTAAAAGTTATCATCACGATTTTAAAAGCTGCACTATATAACTTTCCCATAGAGGGGTCTGTCCCCAGCTTGTCTCCATGGAGATTACTGCTTTTCCTAGGATGACCAGATTTCTAAATCAAAAACTGGGACACCCTGGTTTGGGTTGGCTGGTAATAATAAAATTGTGAAAGGAATGCATAATTAAGGAAAAATGTTCTGTATTCAGCCCATTCATTACTAACATGTGAGTCAGTATAGTCACATTTTCTCTGTGTTTTGGTCATTTTTAAGCAGCTTACCTAAACAGATGTCAATTTATGCCTCTCTTTACTCTTGGCAGGGATCAAATTGGTCAAAAATAGGGACACCTGGGACATTTCTTGTATAAAACTGTGACAAATCAATGGTTTTGGATAAATCTGCTGGGACAGGGGACACAGGGCTCAAAACAGGGACTATCCCGGGTAAATACGAACATCTGGTCATTCTAGCTTTGCCTGGAATATTCCACAATATGGCTTGAAACAAACCTTGCATTTATTCATTTACAGGTAGTTTATTTCTCAAAAAATACCTTTAAAACATGCATTTTCACTGTGAGCAGACTTGCCTCTTTACAGATCTGACCTGTAACTTGGCCAAGTGAAGTCACCTACTTATCTCAGTGAAAAGTATAAGCCCTTACTGTGGAACATTCCTAGTAAAGCATAGCAGTAACATCACCCTGGAGACAAGCATCGTAGTGATTTACTGCATAATAAGAGATAGCTTTTTCAGTAAGTGAAGTTTTAGAAATAATTTATCAAAAGTCAAACACTGTCAAAATCAGAACCAGTTATACCTGGTGCACATCATATAGTTAATTGGCCCACATAATTTTTAGGTGAAATCCAAATTACTGTCTCAATAAAAAAATAAATACTTGTTAGACACATACCACTCTGCTCTCTCCACAGCTCTCCAGTAAAAGACATGTAGACTTAAAGATTAACCAACCTTTAAACTTTCAAATCAATATAACTTACTGCCCATTTAATCCTCTATCAGAGCCAAATGTGCCTTAATAAATCCACAACAATAAAACCCCCATCGCACCTTTGCTTCTCTGCAGTTTCACCAGCCATCTGCTTCTGAAAATGTAACTTAAATCTATCGACAGCTAACAAAACACCAACTGTTCTCAAAGTATCTACAGAAATCTCCTTCCTATAGACTTAGACTTATGTAAACTTTATTGATCCACAATGGAAATTATTTGGACACAGCAGCCCACACATCACAATAAATTATAATGACAAAGAGCAAAACCATAAATGATAATAATAAATTAAAAAATAACGAGACTGATGTCAAATAAGGCATAATTGTATATGTATAAGTAAGAATAAAACAATATAGGAATAATACAAATACAGTATATGTCTCAGCTGTATACAAGAAGAAAACAGTGCTCAGTGCAGTAATGACTGACAGGACATATAGTCGTCTGTCACATAAGGGTGAGTTATTGTACAGTTGTAGGGAGTATTATCTGTTACATAAAGCCTGTTGGAGAATGAGCCCCTCTGTACCTATAGTCTGGTGCAGTAACTCTTCAACTCTTTTCATTTTTAGATAGAATAAGTTGGTTACATTCAAGATACTGTATGAACCAATCTTAGCTAGAACAGGGGCCTGTATAAGTCAATGGGAGATTCATCCATCCATTTTCTTCCGCTTATCCGGGGCCAGGTCACAGGGAAAGCAGTCTAAGCAGGGACTCCCACACTTCCTTCACCCCGGACACTTCCTCCAGATCTTCTGGGGGGACCCCAAGGACGGTTCCAGGCCAGCCGAGAGACATAGTCCCTCCCGTGTGTCCTGGGTCTTCCCCGGGGCCTCCTCCTACTGGGACATGCCCGGAACACCTCCCGAGGGAGGCGCCCAGGAAGCATCCGGAACAGATGCCCGAGCCACCTCAGCTGCTTCTCTTGACGTGGAGGAGCAGCAGCTCTACTCTGAGCCCCTCCCATGTGACTGAGCTCATCACCCTATCTCTAAGGGAGCACCCAGCCATTCTGCGGAGGAAACTCATTTTGACCACTTGTATCTGCGATCTCGTCCTTTACCCAGAGCTCATGACCATAGGTGAAGGGGAGGAACATAGATTCACGGTAAATCAAGAGCATCGCCTTTCGACTCAGCTTTCTCTTCACCACAATGATTCGATACAGTGACCTCATCACTGCAGATCTGCCTGTCAATCTCACGCTCCATCCTCTCCTCACTCGTGAACAAGACCCCGAGATACTTAAACCTCTCCACTTGAGGCAGGGACTCTCGACCCACCTGGAGAGAGCAGGTCACCTTTTTCTGGTCATGGGAAATTGACTGTTTTTAAAAGAAAATCCACAAATGTTGCATCTTATCATTGATTTTTATGGATTAGTTTGCTGTTGATCTTGTGGCTTTAACAGCGACAGCACTTTTTATTAATATTGTTGTCATTACATTGCTTCAAAAGTAGTGGTTCAAAACACTTAACTCACCGCAACCTCAGTTTCTGCAGCCACTGGTGTGTGAATGTAAAGTGCTTTGAGTGCCTTAAAGGTAGAAAAGTGCTATATAAAAATGTGTTCCCATTTTTGCTGTATATCTAAACATAGCCTTTGTAAAATATATTACTGACCTATTCCAAGAAGTAGTTTTATAAAAATGCTTTTCTAGTAAATACATCTGCTTAAAACTTAAACACAGCAATTTCAGCTCATCTTTGAATTATAGCAGCTCCCAAACATCTGAGCCATTTTTATTTCCCTCTTAACAGACGTTGTAAGTAATATGTAGGTGAAATGTTTACCATGGAGATAGTTCGTTAACCAAACAGATGTCTAAACATGAGATACTGACAGGCCGTCTCCAGCTCCTGCCCAGTGGGACCAATCACACGCTCCAACCTGTCATCTCATTATGCACAAACAAACCAGGTGTATCAGAAAAAACTACAGATGCTATGGTAAGAATTGACTGCAAACATGTTGGTATTAACAAAAACACACAACCAGAAAGCAAATACACGTTTTGCGAAGTGTTTTTATTCACATTATTGGATAGACATATAGACCTAACAGAATATAGCCCTGACATTAATGCACCTTACAAAATAGCACTTACAGGTTCACTGCGTAACATTTTTAGCAGAGGGTCCACGCCTCTTTGTCTCCAAGATTTTAATCCTTTGTCTAGAATGTTCCACAGTATGTATTAAATCTATTGCAAGGGAGACAAGCAGGTTACAGCACTATGCTACATTACAGTTCAAATCTGTGGAGAGTCACCCCTATTCACAGAAGGAATTACTGTATTTCTGAGCAATAGAAACATCTATGCTAGATGAAAATGTTTAATGTCATACTGCGGAACATTCCAGGCAAAGAAATAACATCTCCATGGTGACAAGTAGGTAGCGTATCGTCTACCAGAAAAGTTGTGCAAATTACTTTTAAAGACTGCACTTGACATACAATATTTTAAAAGATTTATTACACTGTTTTGTATACTGCTGATGACCTGGACCTGAGTACAGTGTTTTGTTTCTGTGTATTTTTTATACTGAAATTACAAATACATTCTGACTCTAACTTGAGTAGATCAGTAGCTAAAAGAATATGCTGTTTCTTAGCACTGAATGTTAAAAAGTAAATAAAAAAATTATATAAAAGTCTATTTTCCAGCTGAGGTTGTGTGGGTATAACCAGAAGAACAGGATCAATGGTATAACGCTGGATTAAATGAGGCACTTGTATCAGTAGTATTAAATTATTGGTTACTTGCATTTTCTGAGCATAACAGGTTAATTGGAAAACAAAACAGTAGAAGTTGTATGTCAAATCACTTGGTTGGTTTACACAGCTTATCAACACTTCAAGGGTCAATATTTCGACATTATAATCTTGTTTCTTCATCAAAAACATACATGGAGTTGTGTTTTATTTCCTTCACACATTTAACACACAAACCCTGCATATTTAGGCTAAGTTTTTCTCTAACACAGAAAACTTTCTATTCCACCTTGTGATGTCATGTTGTAATACAAGAAGTGCCTCACTGTGTTTTTAAACTTCACACACTTTCACTTAAACCGTTTGAATAATTTGTCTTAAATATCACAAGATGTCAATAATGAATAATATAAGACCTTTAAAGTTGCAAGTCTTGTTCCATAGTAGTAATGACAAATAAATGTATGTGTTCTATAAAAATAATGACCCATAAAAATAATTTGTTACTATGAAAATTTCTGAGTTTTATTAAAGCCCCACCGTGTAACTTTAAAGGCAAATAATCTACTAAAAAATAAAGTGCTTTTTTTCATTTTTATTGCACCTGCCTCCTTACTATGTGCGGTCTTGCATCTCCACAAACCTGACTCTTATTTGGCCTAAATGAGGGCCTCCTTCAGCTTGTCTCCATGGAAATGTTCTTTTGGCTCTATTATAACACTGGCAACAATAATCAGTGGCATAAAATGTACAGATTTCCATGGAGCATTTCCAAAGGATGGCTTTAATGCCCGATTTCCATGGACGTGCCACCTCCAGAAAGTTACACAGTGTTGCTTTAAAATTCTCCATGAAAAAAACCCATTAAAAGGTTTGGTTAACGCATCTTTGAATTAGTATAAATTATAATTCATGAGCCCTTCAGTTTCATTTGAACATACAGACATACATACTGCACATACATTCACATTTGTATAGTTAGAGTTGGCTTGAAGGCACCTGCAGCCTCCAGACCCTCCTCACATCTACATCTACTGAGTCCAGCCCTTTAAACACGCTCACATCCTGGGTTTGGTGGAACATCTGAACCATCTCCTCAAACACTGTCACCGGGATGCTGAAGTTCAGGTGAGGATACGTCACATTGGTCGCAAAGTCCTTGGTGTTACTGGAGACTATACCTGTGGGAAAATTATATCATTATTTATGTACGTGTATGGGTGCTGTTAAGACACAAACTTATCTGCACTCTGACAGCTTTTGCCTTTTGGGTCTGTTTCATTCATGTTAAAGCCTCATTTTAAAATAAGACAAGTTGCAAGTTTATATGTAGCAAACAAAAAGCAGAATTATTTGAGTCATATCAGTACTATCAAAGGTTAACCTGTCCTGCAGAGGAATAAGATATTTTAGTCATTTTAAAAGAGTGTTTTTCTTCTCAAATTGTTGTGCCCTCATTATTTGATATAAGGAATTTGATACAAGGACTTTTTAATCTAAAAAAAATAGACTAAAGAAAAGCATGTTTTTTGTTTGTTTTATTTTGGCAGTTTTATTGCTCTGAAAAAATGTAAATGTGCATCCATATTATGAATGGGCTCACTCCTACACAAACCTGACGTGTATTTGTCCTAGTGGCTTCCTTCTGCTTGTTTCCATGGAAAGGTTGTACCTTTAGCTATAATATTCCACAGTATGGCATAAAAGATATTTGTCTCTATGGAGAATATTTAAGTATGGTTTTAACATTCAATTTCCATGCAATAATGCAGGTGACATGCCACCTCCAGAAAGTTACGTACTGTTACTTATACTCTTTGTGTATTATTAGCCAGCAAGAAAAAATAACAAAAATTTTACTGTTTAACACATTTTGTTTTAAGATATGGGAATATAGTGGGTTAATATCTAAGAATCCAACACCAAAAAGTGAAAAAGAAAAATAAATAAATAAAATAAGAGCAAATACTAGCTACACATTTTGTTAACTCTTCGTATGTCACAAAGCACATGTCTGATTGGGAAAAATTGACACGTTATTGTGATCAGGAGAACACAAAAAGATTCAGAAATCAGTATCCGTCACCCCTGCATGTGCAATGTTCCATTGAAGTTTTCTATAGTGCACTCCTGCCCCCTGCTGTGTGCAAACGGAACTGGTCTCACTTACCCAGTAGCTCTCCAGAGTGCGGCCGTATTACAGCGCCCCCACTGGTCCCGGCTTGTACTGCACATGTGGTTTGGAGCATGACGGGCTGCTGCTCTTTGGCAAGGATGGATTTTGACAAGACTCCGGAGGTGAACGAAGGGCCACAGCTTCGACCTATCGCGCCGTATCCTACCACAAGGACAGGCTCACCTACAGGGAGAAGATGTCACGAAAGGTAAGGAACAAAATAAAGCAGGAGTCATCACTGGGTTTTCTCATTTTTGTCCATGTAATCTTGAAATCAAAAATACTTGCTATAATATTTTCATTTATTTTGTTAAAGGGCCCATACTATTTTCTGATGTTGTTTCCTCTGCAAAAACAGAAACATATGTGAATGAAACAAAACAACACTGGTTAACCCATAAACCCTGTGTATTTAGACAGAGTTCTTCTCTCAAACTGAAAACACTCTCTTCCACTTTGTGATGTCATGTGGTAATACAGGAAGTGCTCCACTATGTTTTAAAACTCCATACACCTTCACTAGAATCATTTGGATAATTTCAGCCCTGGAATAGCCGATCTCCACTGAACTAAAGGTACAGACGCGCCGCAAAAACACAGGACGCTCTAGTCGCGCGTCCACCAACTTTTCACCACACTTTTCAAGGCTCAAATATTAAAGGGGAACTAAGCAACTTTTCTGATGTGGGGGGTTTCCTCCTGTTTGTTGCCATGGAGATGGTATAAAATGTACCATGTACCATTTATTTAATTGCTCAAGTGCTTGTATTGCTAAAAACAAAAAATGTAAAGTTCTTAGTGTAAGTGGGGTCGCCTCTCCACAGATGTGACTAGTAACTTGACCAAGTGACATCATGTTAAGATAAGATAATCCTTTCTTCATCATACAAACATCCACCATAGAACATAAGTAAATAAGAGACCAAGTATGACCGCGAGTGATGCACCAACAGGACCTTTAAGTTACTCTTTACATGCAAGCCCTTCGCAATCTTCTATTCTATTAATAATTGTCCACTCAAAGCAAGATTCTAAGATTTAACTTGGCTGTGTATGTTGTAATAATCGGCAAGAGTAAGAAGCTGAAGTCTGAACAGGAGAAAAAATAAATAAAATCAAGCTGAACACTACACGAACCTGAGAGCAGAAAAGCAGACTCAGATCTCGCGTTCATTTGCAGATGTTGCACTGAATAAAACTACATGACATGCACATCACGAGAGCAAAAGATAAAGAGCTTACAAAAACATTTTCAAACAGGGGCTTGAAATCGACTCTTAGCTCATGGAGATCAAATATTAAACAGGTTGTCTGTATTGTTCTACACCTGAGGCCTTCCTTTTCAGTCTGACATTCTAACCATCTGTGGTGATATAAAAGTAGAGAGATGAGATGAGGAAAGAGGAGGAGGAACAGCTGAACATTTCGGCTCAAATCCTCTGTCGGTCCGCTGCCCCCTCTAGTAAGTGCTGATCTGCATTTCCCCTCACATGTTCAGACTTTGTAACCATCGTTGGTACAAAGCAAACTAGAACACCACGATCTCACAAGATTACTGGGACCTTTTTAGGAAAGATATATATATTTTATTTTCACTTGTACATATACATTTATATAATTATGCCTTATTTGACAGTCTCTTGCTCTTATTATAATATGCTGTGAGCTACTGTGTCCATATAATTTCCCTTGTGGACTAATAGTTTGTCCAAGTGGACTGATCTAACCAGCTTGCAGCCATTTATTTATTTTATTGATTTGATAGGGACAAGTACATTAGACATGTAATGTAATAAAACATTTATAGCCAAGGCTAATTTGCAATGTCTGTCCCATCTACACCGCCTTGCTCATCTTAAACACATAGTAACACACAGAATAACATCTCTGTGGAGACGAGCAGGTGAAGTAACATAATGCACCTTTAAAGGGCCTATAATGCGCTATTGTCTGATCTATGTTGTAATGTTGTTTTCTCATCAAAAACATATCCGGAGTTGTGTTTTGTCTCACACATGTTTAACACACTAATCCTGCATACAGTATTTAGAGTGTGATGTCATGTGGTAATACGAAAGTGCTCCACTGGGGTTTTAAACGCCATACAGTTTCACAAGAATCATTTGCATAATTTCTTTCATTTGGAACATTTTTGTGGCCATACCAGTTTGTCAAAGCCTGAGCCCGCCAGATCTCAGAAGCTAAGCAAGACCAATGGGAAAATCAGGTGCCACAGTGGGTCGCCAGTTGTAAAAACGTTGTGTCTTTAGGCAAGGCACTTCACCCACACTGCCTAGTATGAAAGTGGCGTGTGTGTGAGTGTTGGTGGTGGGTGGAGGGGCCAGTGGCGCAGATTGGCAGCCTTGCTTCCGTCAGTCTGCTCCAGGGCAGCTGTGGCTACAACACCACTGGGTATGGAGTGAATGAACAATGATCTGTAAAGCGCCTTTGAGTGTCCAAAAAAGCCATATATAAAACTGATGCATTAATTTGAGAGAATTTGCATCTCCAGTGAACAAAAGTTAAAATGTAGCTGTTAACTTGAAAACTACCACTTCATGACATCACAAGGTGGAACACAGCATTTTGAGCTTTGGGTGTGTAGACAAGCTAATAATAAAGTGTTACTCGAACATTTCTCAATGAAGCAAAACACAACTACAAGTATTTTGTGATGTGGCAACTACGTTATAATGGGTCACATATGGGTCAAAGCTCCCTGGAGTCAGTTTTGCGTAATATAGGACTTTCAATGATTAAATGACACTGCAGAAACTCAAACGTGTCTAAAGCTTTCAAGTAGCAGTAGTGGAGTTGCATCTGTACATAAGGTAGAATCGTGAATGTTACAATAAATACTGCACCTGCATGAAACTTATGGGACATCTGGGGAAGTACGGCCTGACTGACACTGTTCCTGGGCCTCACCACAGCCAGGTCAAAGGGTGAGCTCTCCTGAGTGGAGAACAGGACATCACCAACCACATCTGTGAACCTGGAAGAGACAAATAACAAAAACAAATGTAGTTAAGGTGCTACAGTATATTATACAAAATTGTATGTACATGTTATAATGTTGTTTCCTCATCAAAAGCATACCTGGAGTTGTGTTTTGTTTAATTCACACATGTTTGCTTAAGCCTTTATTATTTTCTGTCTACATCTCCAAAGTTCAAAATGCTCTGTTCCACCTTGTGATGTCATGAAGTGGTGCTTTTCAAGTTAACAGCTACCTTTTACCTTTTGTTTAGTAGAGAGAAGCAATTCCATGGCTGAAATTATCCCAGTGATTTGAGTGAAGGTGCATGGAGTTTAAAAACACAGTGGAGCATTTCCTGTATTGCCACATGATTTCATAAGGTTAGGGTGACCAGACATCCTATTTTTCCCCAGGATAGTCCCAATTTACCCGGGATAGTCCCAGTTTTAAGCCCCGTGTTCCCTGTCCCAGCAGATTTATCCAAAACTATTGATTTGTCACAGTTTTATACAAGAAATGTCCCAGGTGTCCCTGTTTTTGACCAATTTGACACCTGGCAACAGTAAAGAGAGGCATAAATTGTCACTTGTTAAATAAAAAACAGAAAAGCTGCTTAAAAATGTCCAAAACACAAATAAAATGTGACTATACTGAGTCGTGAATAGAGATGTGCAAAAATATTGAAATATCGACATACCACATGGTTTAATGTGATGATACAGTATCAATATTGTGGGCTGCTGTATCGATATATATCGCCAAGAGTACTTTTTGGTAAATTTTACTCAATCATTTTGTTACATTGCTACAGTTTTGTTGTTTGTTTAGTGGAAGGAAACTCATTTATGCAACACATTGGACATTTTCACTGTTTTGATTATTAAAATGGGTGTGTTTTATATTCACATTGCACAAGTAGTGGCTTAACAAAGACTTTTAGCCTTTATTTTTATTGAACCGTATCGAATTGATTTGAAAAATATTGAATAGAAAGTGCACTGTATCGATTTATGTATTGTATCGTATCGGCAACTTCTTAATGATACCTGCCCTAGTTGTGAATAAGTCATGAATGGGCCCAGTGCTTAACAATTTTCCTTAATTACGCACTTGTTTCACAATTTTATTATTACCAGCAACCACCTCAAACCTGAGATGTCCAAGTTTTTGATTTTGAAAATCTGGTCACAGTGTTTTCCTTTTGAGAGAAGAACTCAGCCTAAATATGCAGGATTTGTGTGTTTAACATGTGTGAATGAAACAAACAAACAAACACTCCAGGTATGTTTGTGATGAGTAAACAACAGAATAACAAAGAAAACAGCACAATATGGCCACGCACCTGTCTTCCTGATGAAACTTGAGCATGACCATAGACTTCCTATTGACCACATGGCGACAGGTAAGAGCCAGCTGTGCCGAAACCAGCACACCTGACCCCCAAAACTGTCCACCGTCCACCAGGCACACTGTGGGATACTGCACCGAGCCACACCCACTCGCCACGGCCCCCATGCGCTCTTTCTCCCTTAGGACTATATCTTGCAGTGGATTTTCTGGGTTTGTAAATCGCAATATATTTTTGAAAATTTGATGAACTGAACAAACCAACGAAAGCCCTATCCATTCGTTAGCCTTCCACCCAAAAGGAGACACAACAACCCCAACAAGACGCACTTTCTCTGGGCTTTGGAGCGCGAACAACCCGCCACCTTCTGTACCAGGTAAGCAGCGCGCGTCCGTAAGGATAATAGCGTTCTCTTGTCCCGTAAGATTACTTATAATGCCTCTACTGAGCGTACTGGTGAACAGATCTACGCAGAGGGATCCGAAAGGGGTCCCACAAGCCAAAACGGGGCAGCCCTTGAGGAGAGACGTGCTGTCTTGCCACGGGATGAGGTGTGGGTAGGGGTCGGTGGTGCGTAAATCTTTGGCTTTCAATACGGCGAACCAGCTTAGAAACTGGGCATCTTTCAGCAACTCATCCTCATCTTCATCCCCGTAGAAGCGCCATTGGTGAGACTCGGGGAAAACAGCCTGGAAAGCTTGTCTGAATTCTAAGCAGTTCACTAACATAAGTAGATTAGCTTCGGTTTGGAGTTGGCCTGTTCCAGAGAGGTTTTTGGTGAAGTTTGTTTGCGCGCATTGGTTCATACAGAGTTGTGCAGATAAGGTGACACTAATTCTAAGCTTCTTGCTAAATCGACGCGCTGGTAAAACACGTCCATTCGTGTTTAGAGACTTTTTGTTGGCAGTGAAGCGAGAGAAAGGGAGACCCGTGCAGAGAATAGTTCCAGACTCAGGGTGGACAATGACACCGCTGCAACTGACAGACTTTTTAGCAGAAAATGCTTTGGAGAGAGTTACCACACAGCAGCACCGCTCAACATCAGACAGATCCATAGTCCAGCGCAAAGACGACGACAGCAACACCGACTGTTCAACTAAAGACGCGTAAATCTGCCGGATACGCGTGTTTTAAAATACAAGGACGCTTTATTGGTTAAGCGTAATAAAACATGTGTAACAGAGAACTTCATGTTCTCAGTGTAGTCCTCCACTTCCTGGTTGTGTAATAGTATGCTCTGATTGGTCAAAGTGCAAGCATCAACAACCAATGGGATTGTGAATTGGTTACAACTTATGCCATTTGTTTTGGATTTTTTATTTTCAAATAGAAATGTTTTCAAAAATCACACCAGAAATTATTTATTCATTTTTATTTTTTCTTATTTTCCAAAAAAATATTTTACATTTTAACTGGTTTGAAATTATTAAAAGTTGTACTTCACAAAATATTTCTTAACTTTTTAATGTTACATAATATTTTGTCACTTGGCCAAGTGTAACTACTTTCTACTTAGAATATAAATAATAGCCTATTTACAAATATAGATAATATTGCACTTAAATTATAACATGCAAAACTTTTGCATGCAACTGGCACTTGACACAAGTACTCTCACAGGACACTGCTCCCTCCAGGCCCTGATCACAAAGTACTGCGCTCTTTACAGTAACATCCATAGATTGTATAAAGGAGGATCTATATACAGTCTATGGTAACATCTGAAGACAGTCAGTGATTAGGGTTAAATATGAACATGGTACATAGCTGCTGATTAGCATACATATAAGATACAGACCCTCATAGTGCATTTGTGGTTAATATTCAGAAGGCTAAAGTCCTACAAAGCACTATTATGCCATTTTCATCAGAGGTGCGAGATTATAAATAGTACCATGTCTTCACGTGTTTAAAAATAAGAATGCTGTTGCTTTGCCTGAAGCAGTGAGGAGTTCGTGCATGACCTGTAAGTCAACACGAGCAGATAAAAATAACCAGGTCAGGCATTTGTCTCCAGCTTTGACATGTTCTACAGGCATGTCCTGGTCTGTGTGACCTGGGTCAAATCCCAACAGGCTCCAGTCAAGGTAAATAACAGTGTCTACACAGTCTATTCTCTGAATCATAGTGACATCTGGTTAATAAGATATGATGAACCTGGGGTGGGCTTGTAACAGGAAGGCCTACACAATTTTAAATATGCATATCAAAAGCAGCAGATGTCATACAATGTCTATTTGAAGCGCATTAGCCCAGATGAAGCAGACACAGGTAGGTCATATATGTGTGCATAGAGAGGAGTAACCAGGATAATGCAGCCTCAGTCAATGTATTGGGAGAGCCAGCGGAAGCCCTCTCCATAGCCCTGCCTCTTCAGCACACTGCACATGAACACTTCCATGGGCCTCAGGTTCAGCTCCTTCACAGACACTTTGCCCTAAAGGGGGAAGGGCAAAAATTACTGCACTGAAGGTCATGGACTCAAGATAAAGAAGAAGAAGAGACTTAAAGTGGTAGCACTTTACAGGTGTAGTAACTGCAAGGTTGATGTTGGAGCTCAAAAGTCCCACCCACTTCGGAGTCCGCTGTGGTTCCGGAAGTAAATTTCCTATTAATTTTTCCCCATAAACATTTTGGAAATTTTAAATATTAATGGACCCATATTGTGATATTTTTTGATCTATGTTATAAAATAGTGCTCCACTGTGTTTTTAAACTCCATACACCGTCACTAGAATCATTTGGATAATTTCAGCCCTGGAATTTGTCATCTCTGCTGAACAAAAGGTAAAAGGTAGCTGTTAACATGAAAATTACCACTACATTATTGCAAGGGGAGCAGTGTGTTTGCAGATTTGGAGATGTAGATAGACTAATAATAAAGACTTACTCAAACAACTGAAACAAAACACAACTCTAGGTGTGTTTTTGAAGAGGTAACAGCATTATAACATGGCTAAAACTTCATAAAAATCCGTTTTGTGTAGGATAGGACCTTTAAGAGTTATAAGTCACAATGGAGGCTAATCAGCTATATGATAACTAATGTCCAGAATGGAGTTGATTTTAAAAACACAGTTTAAAAAAAAATGCTGAAATGCTTCCAATAAATATAATTACAGATTAATAGGTGGCACACATCTGATTAGCCTAGGACAGTTTTATTGTCATAAGGACAGACAAATATTTCTGGTAACTGGATTAATCAGTTATTACTTTCACTGAAATCAACAATAATACAGTTTATTTCCCTTCAAAATTGTCATCTAAACTACAAGCTAACTTCTTTCTAAACCACATGCCTTGCTAATTTTTCATTTTAAATTGCCATTAAAACAGCTCAGTTTTGAAGTACTAAATTATAATTCCAACACATGGTTTACATAGTACGATTTTTTGCCCCGTCTGCTTCTCCAGTCTGGGAATATGCTGACTACAATCCACTGAAGAAAAGAAACTACGCCTATTAAATACAAACACATGCACTAAATATCTGCACAGTAATATTCAAACCAGGGATGTCAAGATTTTTCTGGTAACTGATCATTCTGATTATTCAGATCACAATAAAATTTGAACATTTTAAAGGTGCACTGTGTAACTTTTCTGGTGGAGGGTCCCTCAAATGCTTTTCTTCATGGAGATGTTACTGCTTTGTCTGGAATGTTTCACAATATGTGTACAGTTAAGCCTTTCTATCTTCAAACCAAACCAAGCAAAGTTACAGGTCAGATCTGTGGTGAGGCGACCCCGCTCACAGTCAGAATGCCTGTTTTTCTAGGTATTTTTGAGCTATAAAACACCTGTAATTGAGTAAATGTAAGGTAGAGCTGTTTAATGTCATACTGTGGAACATTCCAGGGAGAGCAATGACATATCCATAGGAACAAGCACATGACGGACCCCCCCCCCACCGAAAAGTTACAAAGTGCACCTTTAACAAACTTTACCCAAAAATTTTTAAAAGCAGTTATTTTAATTCAATCTACAAACCAAAAATGCAAACCTAAACGTCAGGTATTTACTGTTTATTCCATCTTAAACTTTCATAGATGTCATTCATAATTCATAATAATTCAGTCTTTATTAAGAACACATAATATCGGGTTCATAGTAAGTACAAGACCGTCAATGTCTCCACAGTTTTAGAGGTGAATCTGACTGAGCTCATTAAGCCAGGAACAAACTAGAACAAAGGTCATTGATTTACGGACAAAATAGCGAAATAAAAACACCAGGATCATGAAGAGTGGGTTTATACAAATATTTGGAATGCAGGGGCTAGTGGGTTTGCTACGTCCATTTATATTTACAGTCTACTTTCTAGCCTTAAATTGTGATATTGCGACATCCTTAGTCAAACCTATGGCATTAAAAAATATTCTACAGTAGTTTGTGCATTACCTTCCCTGTGGTGTGTCCGATCAGACCAAACATGCCTCTGAGGGCGTCTTCACTGATGGCCTCTGGTCGGTCGATCTTATTCCCCAGAATCAGAACTGGCACATTAGAGATGGTTTCATCTGTGAGAAGGGCCTGTGTACACAACAGCACCTGCACTTAATAATGCTCTACAATACTGCATCATCAGTATCAGCAGTAGTAGTATTCATACATTTTGATGTGTATTAGTAGTAGTGGTAGTGGCAATAGTAGTGGTAGTAGTAGTGGCAGTGGTAGTGGTAGTATTGGTGGTAGTAGTAGTAGGAGTAGTATTTATCAATTTTGATGTGTGATATGTTGCCACAGCAAACCACTTGTCTTGCCTGAAATGTTCCACAGTATGGCATTTAACATAGCTATACTTTATTGCAAAAACTTTGAAAACACACATTCCTGTAGTAAGCAGGGTTGCTACTCTTCACAGATCTGACTTGCAAGTTCACCTGGTGGTTGTCTCCAAGGAGAACATTAAAGGCAAAGAAACAACATCTCCACAGAGACAAATCAATGTAGTTTGTCTTGCCTATTAGTAGTATTGGTACAAGTAGTAGTATTGGTCATATCAGAAATTGTACAAGCAGCATCAGTAGTCGTATCAGTAGTTGTATCAGTAGTAGTATTTATATTATATAGTACAGTGCGTTCAAACCTACATCCAGCTCCACTTTGGCCTCCACTAGCCGCTCATGATCTGCACAGTCCACCATGTAGACTATTCCATTTATGGCCGGGAGGTAGTTCTTCCAGATTCTTCTTGCTGGAGGCCACAAATCATTGTTATTCACATGATATTACATACAATATGCAAATTTAAATAATGTATGCGTCTTTACACTGTTATTTCACATTGTCTTGTACATAGTGTTAATTAGACTATGTATTGTTTTTTTATATATATATATTATAACATATTTCCAAAGCAGTATGTTCTGTAAAACAAGGTGTCATGGTAAATTGTTACTATGACTCTTTATGCACTTTTTTCACATTAGGTGTTTTTCAGGTCAAGTATTTAACTATATATATATTATGTGTAGATTTACATTTTGCACTTGTTCATTATAAACTTCAGTACTGATCTAGAATTACTTTTACTTAATTAATATATAAAAACAGGACCCCTAACTTTCTTCAAAAACATTACTGGAATTATGTTTCGTTTCATTCACACGTTTGAGTAATCCTGCATTCTCTCTACATCTCCAAAGCTTAAAATGTGCTGTTCCAACTTGTGATGTCATGAAGCGTAGTTTTCAAGTTAACGGCTACATTTTACCTTTTGGTCTGTGGAAATGGACAATTCCTGGTCTGAAATTATCCAAATGATTCTATTGAAGGTGTAGGGCATTTAAAAACACAGTGAAGCACTTCCTGTATTATCAGATGTTTTCTATTTGAGAGAAGAACTCTTTAGAAACTATTTAGAAGCCTAAATATGCAGGATTTGTGTATGTTTTAATGAGGAAACATAGATCAGAAAACACCATAAAATACAGATTGGTGGCATATTAAAGATATACATACATTTGAATCACTAAAATAAAAAAATAAAAACAAACTATAGCCTCCATGTATTTTTTTAAAATGCAAAACCGACTAAAAAGATTTATTTGTCTCCTATAATTAAACTCTTGCTTTAGCCCTCCCAGCAAGTTGAACTGCTGATCTACGCTTTCTACATTGATTATTTCAGTAACATGTTGACCTCTGACCCTTTCACAGATTTAAGTGCTCGAACTGATTAAGAACAACCCCCTCACCTATAACACTAACATGGGTAAATCAATACTAAAGACTGAACTATAAGTGAACCGACAGAGACCAAGATTAAACACTGATCTAAATGTTGAAAGATGGATTACAGATCACTTTAAAGATATGTATGTAATATTTTGATTTTATAGTTATAGTTTATAGATTCTATAAACATGACCTTACTGTGTATGTACCCAGATATGAGGTCATACGTTCAAATTAAATATAGCTCTGGTTATTTTAATGATTATTATTTTAATTACAAAAAACATTAGGCCTGGTGGCAGAGTTGTCTATGTTATGTTTTTATGGTTCTCTAGACAATTATTCTATCGGAAAGCAGAATGAGCCTCACATGAGTCTCTCATTTGGGTTGCCAGTTTTAATGCTGCAGTTCAGTTGGTTTAAATCTAAAAGTATTCTCTCTGATCTGAATTCTCATTACCTAAATCAGTGAATCAATGAGTGAATTCTGGAGGTTCTGAGCTTTCACATGAGAATGAAAAAAATGTGAAAAAGGCATGGGCAACCAAGGTTCAGCTGTGATTATAGAACATTTTTGAAAACTTTAAGAGTGCTGTTTCCTTTTGTTTTTTCTTTTCAGTTTTTACATTGCATTCTACAATGTCTCCACCAGAAGCTGCCAAAACTTCACAACTGTACATTCTTCACAGTTTAAGCTTACCTTGTGTGTGCCCTCCTAGATCAAATGTTGTGAAAGTCATTCCGGCTATGGTCAGCTCTTCTGATGCTGGACACAGAGAAATCACAGTGAATGAAATAATATGTTTTTAAGACAACTTTGTAAGTCATTTTGGACCTGTAGACGTACTCGGGTGTAAAGTGGGGACGTGCTGGCCCAGTCGGTCGTCTCTGAGCATGTGCAGTAGAGTGGTCTTTCCTGCATTGTCCAGCCCCAGGAACACAAGCTTGCCTGTCTTCTTATATAAACCTGACACAGGGTAAAATATTATAATGTATTTGTTTTACATAGCAGAGCTGGGTTTAGAAATGCATGATTACTGAGATCAGATTTGCAATATGTTTGAAATGTAGGATTCTGTTCAGAGTGTAAACAATTCCAGAAGTAATACAATTTTAGCCTGAAATATTAACTTACAAGAATCAATACTAGAATCCCATGCATGTTTGAAGAGGTCTAAACTACAGGTAAAGCAAGATTTTTCTATAAAACAGGATATTTTTCTATAAATAATTGCAGCCTTTGCGACTTGATAATTGTGCCAACTCAAACTGCAATTTCAGTTTGATTGCAATATATTGGGCAGCCCTGTACAGAATGGCTTTAAATGTCAAGGCAAGTCATTACTGAAAAAATAAGTTTAATTTATTTCATTTAATACAAATTGGAAACATCAAGTGGCTTTCTTCAAGTGAAATAAGATTATAGGTCATATAGGTCAGGAGTAGAGATGTAACAATAACCAAAATATTGTGATATTGTATTACAAGTTCCTTTGCTTAAATGCATTGTTTGACAGTAGCAACATTTGATAAACATAGGAAACTACATATCTCATGATTAACTTCAGTGTAGACAACATGAAGAAATATGTTTTTTGCTTTAATTCTTGGGATGACGACAGTAATGATTCACACCAAAGTCTAGTCATGGTAATTTAAAAGCAAAAAGTATCCGGACTTCAATTCTTTTAGCCTATCCAAAATATCTGCAAAATACTGCAATAGCAATAAGTATCATACCATGACATGACTATCATGATAATATCATACAGTCAGATTTGGATATCGTTACAGCCCTACTCAGGAGATGGTCAGTAGTTCAACATACAGGGATATAATGCAGATTTAGACTTAAATAGATTTTTGGAGGTCAGGTCATGAACTACATAGTTTAGATGCCTAAACCCTTTCAGTCATGATCTATGGGGTTGTAGTATGTTTTGTTTTTGTTTTGTTGTGCTGCAAAATGAACTACTACTACTACTACTACTACTACTACTACTACTACTACTACTACTACTACTACTACTACTACTACTACTACTACTACTACTACTACTACTACTACTACTACTACTACTACAAAATGTCTTACCTAAAAATTGCAAGACACTGCTGAAGCTTCTGTAGATCCAGTCAAATATGAAAGACATGTTTCTGAAGTAGCTGCATGGGACAGTGATAAACATGATATGGCTGATTAATATCTGATTTCTAGACATTTAAAATTCAATGGTAAATGGTCACATTTCTATAAAGCACATTTCCATCTTCAAGGCACTAAGCGCTTTACAACAAGAAACCACTCACCCATGCATACACACAGACACTAGAGGTGAGCGGGGTTAAGTGTGTTGCTCAAGGATACAATGACAGCATTCATCTGTCATCAAAAACATCCAGAGTTGTATTTTGTTTCATTCACACGTTTGAGTAATTCTTATATTGCTGGTGTTGTCTGCATCTCCAAATTTCACAAATGCTCTGTTCCATCTTGTGTCATGCAGGGGCGGTTTTCAAATTAACTTTTTACATTTTGTTCAGTGATCGTTGGACATTTCAGGGCTAAAATCATCCAAATTATACTAATGAAACTGTATGGAATTTAAAAAGACAATGGAGCACTTCTTGTATTACCACATGTCATCACAAGGTGGAACAGAGTGTTTTCTGTTTAAGAGAAGAACTCATCCTAAATATACAGGATTTGTGTGGTAATGTGTGAATGAAACAAAACACAACTCCAGGTATGGAAACATTATAACATAGATCAGAAAATAGCGTAATATGGGCCGCTTAACTCGACAGTACTCTTCTTAAGCCGTTGAAGTACTCATATTTGGCACCAGCACTTTGAACCAAATCTTTCAAAATCTTGCATTTACTGTTCTCCAGTCCTTTATTCCTGGATTACCTCACTGGTATGTGTAATCTATGTAATCTGTATAATCTCACACAAATCACTGAAAGGGCGCACTAAGCAGCCGGTGTCGCTATAGTCAGGCACTCTGGGGTCTGTGTGAAGAATGAGACCCCCGGTGCTCCTTGGGACTATTTTTATGACGAGTAGTGGTCAGGACACTTGATCTGCCCCTGCCTCTGCTCCTGCCCACGCACCTGTCACTCTGCTCAACCGGCTTAGGGCAGTGGACACTCAAAGATTTCATTATTTCTATAGTTATAAGCAAAATATAACTAGACGCATTGTGTTCAAGATCCAATGCGTAAAATGTGCTGCCCGTTGCTGTGTTAAAATGCGCGCATATTGGTAATTACAAAAATGACCAACTTCAACGCAATAATAGCATAATATAACTCCTATGGCAACTGCTTTCACAAACTGGAGCACATGTCAAATAGTTTTCCAGTAACTTCTTGGCTGCAACAGCTCATTCCCTGTGTTGGCTAATGGCGTAAACAAAGTAAACAAGCGCGCAGCCCCTTTACGCTGATCAAAAAGATTAAATAACACTTTATAAACTCGTCTACAAGTTTCATCTTTGGAGTAATCGAAAGGATGTCATTTTGGTATTTGAATAAAGTTTTTGTAGTTGAATAAAACTAACTTTACCTGAGTGTGGCGAGATGTGAAAGTCCCAAGTCCCTAAATTTGGTCCAAGCCCGTGCGCCGCTGGAGACTGGCAGGTTTGACAGTTCACCGGAAATACGTCATCGCGCAAATATCAGGAGGGGCGCGCCAAGTTTGGGTGTTTACTGTGAGGATATTTTTATTTATACATTTTATTTATTTATATATGAATTCTATAGGGATGCTTTGTGCGTTTCGTCATAGAAGAGCGGAAAAAACAACAAACTACAACTTTTCCTTATAGTAACATCGTCCTAATACTTGGATGACCACAAGTTGTTGAAAGAGGAACATGTCGAAATTTGTGGGACATGTCGAAATTTGTGGGACATGGAAGGGTTTAATTTAAGATAAATACAAAATAGCAAAAGCACTGTATAAATTTTAGATTAAATCATAACGCACAAAAAGAGACTGGAATCGCATTACGTGCCATATACGTCCAGGTTAGCAATATATTACAACCCTGAATGCCACTACACCGAAATATTCTTGGTTTGAGATCAAAAATATATAATCACATATGTAAATCTCGCTTTTTATAATTCTTGTTTCACATAAAAAGGGGGCACCCATTAAATAAGAGGTACAGTATACGTAAAAAGGAAAGGGCCTAAATGTGGAGCACAATTAAAGACGGACATGTGGTTACCATGATTACCAATTGTTGTGCTAAATCTGTATGTTACTCAGTGTCCACTAGATGGTGGTAGATAGGAGAAAGCTTCCCATATTCACCTGCAGCAAAAATACCATACAGTATGGAGTCCAGAACAGCTTTATTAAAGCAGTTTCAGGTAGGAAGTAGGGTTTGGGTACCTTCAAGATTTGACAGCACATCTCCTAGGAGACCTTTGTAAGATTAATTGGTCATAACATGAATGCATCACTAGTGTACACATTATTTGAGTTAATCTACATTATCTAACATTGTACAGTATCTCGCCATCCAATGGAAAGATTGAGTCTGGGAATCCTCCCATTGTTTCTAAGACCATATCATAGTGTTTAAAGGCCCTCCGCCTTCAATGATGCCTCTTATTTGTAGAACCATTTGTCAACTGCAAAACACACAAAAAGTTTAAAGTTTTAAATAAATGTTCTTGGGTAGATCCTACTGGTCATAATCTAAAAAATATTTAAATAGTAAACTTAAATTACCTGTTGAAGGAATGGGGTCACCTTTCCCACACGGACATGTCTACAAATGAAGACAATTAGATAGGCAGTGTAATATTTTACCAGCAATAAAACATTGAATTGCATTTGTGTGTTACCTCTCCCACAGCTGCCTTGGCCTCATCCGCTGAGCAGCAGAATGGACTGTCACCCGCGGAGACACTTGTGTTTTTACTGTCGGAGCACAGAAAAGGTTATATCTACACAGAAAACAGGGATTTATAACAATTCAAACAATATTTACCAGTTTAGTTCACCCGCACTGGCCTTCTGACAAATGAGGTTTTTCCAGAAACTATGAGTGCTCTTGATTACATTAATGGCAAAGTCCTACAACAGAGAAGCATTTCATTCACTTTATTTCATTCATTTATAGTCACAAGATAATCTTAAAGGGTCCATATTACGCCATTTTCTATTCCATGTCAAAATGTTGTTTCCTCCTCAAAAACATACCTGGAGTTGTGTTTTGTTTCACTCACCCATTTTTAACACAAATCCTGCATATTTACTTCTTCTCTCAAACTGAAAACACTCTGTTCAACTTGTTAATGTCATACAGTAATACAGGAAGTGCTCCACTGTGTTTTTAAACTCCATATTTCCACAAGAATAATTTTGGACAGCCCTGGAATTGCAAATTTTCACTGAATACTAGGTGAAAAGGTACATATGAAATGATAAACTGATATAGATTGATATTATTAACATGCATTGTTGCTGCCTGAGAAATTAATTTCCTTTGGGATAATAAAGTATTCTTTTTATGTATCATTTTGAGCTTTAGAAATGGTGACAGATTCATAAAGGAGCTCTCAAAACATGTGTGAATTAATCAAAACACAACTCTGGGTATATTTTTGATGCGATAACAACATCCTAACATGGCTTAAACCTCACAAGAGTCAATTTTACGTAATATAAGACCTTTTGTATACAGTCTGGGTTTATTCAACAACATAAACAATGATCAATATAAAGAAGCGTGTATATAATTGTAGGGCGCATACCTTGTCTTTAAACTCCCCATCAAAGGCAAAGCGATTCTCTGGTTTACCGTCAGGCACTTTGTATCTTCTGAACCAGTCGACTGTGGCCTCCAGGTACCCGGGCTTCAGCCGCCTCACATCACTGATGTCTGCAAGAGCCAGCACAAGACACAGAGGCAGATACGGTTAGGAAATCAAATCAGTGAAACGAGAATTGTCAAATCTGATTATCTAGGTTGACAAAAATACCAGGGATTTTTGTTTCCATCAGATACGAAGTGACACTAAGGCAAGTATTGCAAAAGTGATCCGATACCATTATCAGTGAGTTTTGTATTAAAATGCACTCCTTTACAAGTTTTACCATGGCATCTTAAACTTAGCTCCATGCCTCCACCCCAGCTTGAACTGATCTAAAGTTCATTATAAATAATGTATTTCCAAAATTGGAAAAATTTCAATAAAAAAAAAGTATGAAATAATACCTTTGAAATATATTTATTTTTATTAGTATTTTAAACTTCGATCAATATAACTAGCTTTAAAGAAGAACTTTTACTGTGCTCATGTCTGCTATATAGTTATAATCCATAACAGCTATGGATCATAAATTATAATTTGGACATTTTAAATCGCAATAATCATCTAAAAAAACAACATAAAATAAACTGAAAAAGTCCGCTGACTTCTGCGTTAGAAAGCTGTGGCGCTCAATTTGAGCAGACATTGCTGTAAATGTGAAGAAAACAAAGAGCTGTGAAGTCAACACCTTCAGTGGTAGAGGACTTTTTTTTAAATCACTTCTAACAAAAAGACTACATGACTCAGCTGAATAATGTACATATCACAGATTAAGATTGTGGCCATACCGGCTTGTCAAAGCCTGATCCCATCAGATCTCAGAAGGTAAGCAAAGCCAGGACTGGTTAGTATTTTGAAGGGAGATCGCTGGGAAAAATCAGGTGCCAAAAGTGGGGAACCAGTTGCAAAAAAAACCCCAAAAAAACCTTCATTGTCATTGTGTCCTTAAGGAAGACACTTCACGAACATTGCCTAGTATGAAAGTGGTGTGTGCGTGAGTGACAGTGATGGTCACAGGGGCCGATGGTGCAGATTGGCAACTTTCAGTCTGCCCCAGGGCAGCTGTGGCTAGAATAGTAGTTTACCACCACCTGGTATGAAGTGAATGAACAATGCTCTGTAAAGTGTCTTTGAGTGTCCAGAAAAGCACTATATAAAACTGATGAATTATTATTATTAGATTAAGAAAATTAAATTGGTGAACAAAGTTAGTACTGAGCAATGGACATATGCTGGTGGCGGTAAAAATGGGATTGTTTTGAAAATAAGCAATTAAAGATCGAGCTCAAAGCTCAAACACGCATGAATCACTCCAAATACAACTTTGGGTGAGTAAATGGTGAAGGGAAACAACTATAAAATTGTGACAACTGACAAGTCAATTTTGCATAATAGGTCCACTTTAATAAACACACAACTCTTGCACCATTCACAAATCTATGAGTAAATCTCAGGATGTTGTTAAAAAGGTAAAAGTATCTGGTGAGCAAAACATGCCTGCCCTCCCCTGACCTAAAGAGGTGAGGCTCTTACCATTGAATTCGCCAGCTTCGGGGTCGTCTACATTGATTGCAATCACTTTCCAATCAGTCTCTCCCTCGTCGATCATGGCCAGAACCCCCAGGACCTTCACTCTGATGACATCACCGCGGGAGCACACCTGCAGAGAGGAGCACATTTCATAGGAACACATTATAAAGTCTGTTACAATAAAGTCTGTTAAATACGATATATTGCCGAAGAAAATATATACACTAAATGATAATACTGAAACTAATGTATGCCAATAAAGCAGATTTAAAGGTGCATGGTTACTTTTTAGTGGAGGGCAGCCACCTGCTTGTCTTTATGGAAATATTATTGCTTTGTCTAGGATGTTCCACAACATAGATTAAACCTATCTATCACGAGGGAGACAAGCAATGTTACAGCACTACGCTACATTACAATTCAGATCTGTGGAAAGTTACCCCTATTCACAGAAGGAATTATTGTATTTTTGAGCAACAGAAACGCCCATAATGAATAAATGCTAGATTCAAATGTTTAAAGTCACACCATGGAACATTTAAGGCAAAACAATGACATTTCCATGGAGACAAGTAGGTAGCAGGCCCTTTAAACCACAAAAACTATTCTGCAATATTGTTAAAAACTCATAGCTGCAACAAATAAATATCTCAATGAAACACTGTGATGAGTTTGTATCTATAATGAGTCATAGAAGTCATTAAATTCAACCTTTGATGGCTTAAATCTTATCTTGTTGCAGAAAAATTACCAAAAATAGCAAGTAATACAAAGAAAATGTACACACAATAAATACTGACTCCTCAAAAATATTGTTCCAGCTTTCATATAGTGAATGATAAGTTGATATAGTAATTATCATGAAAAGTCTATACATTATAATATATAGGACAATATTAATTCACAGCGTTGTCATATAGTGCAGTAGAATAATGACAAAACAATTCTACCTTACAGCCAGATTTTTGTTTACATCTGATACAAAGTAATACTAAGGCAAGAATTGCAATGTTGATCTGATACCAATACCAGTGAGTTTTCATATTAAAATGCAATGAAACTATTTCTTGACTAGTTTTATCTTTGCATCATTATCTTAGACTTGGCTCCACATCTCAACATCACCTTGAACTGATCTAAAAATATAATATCTGTAGATAAACTAAATATAAACAATGGCTTTCCAACACTGACAAAACATTCAATTAAAAGCATGTAATTTGTTAGAGAAATATTATGTATTGATACCTTAAATAATACCTTTAAAATAAATATATTTTACTTAATATTTTAATCTTCGTTCAATATGAAAGACAACTTATTGTGCTTAGTCTATAGTGACCAATAAATCGATATAGTAATTTCCATTACATTATATTATAATATATGGGATGTTGTTATTTTACAGCGATGTCATGGAGTGCAGTAAAATAATTACAAAATTACTCTACCTTACTGCCAATTTCACAGACGTCTATTGGGTCATTATCTCCACAGCAGCCTGTATCGGCATCCTTGTGAGCTGGATCCTCCCATGTCTGCAACACCACAGAGCATATGCATCAATATTAATGTCACAGCTACTCTATACAAGTGTACGCTTTTGTATGACCAGCGTACGCACCTGAGGGATGGCTCCATAGTTCCATATATAACCTTTGTGAGGGAAAATGTTGGCAACGTATCTCAACTTGCCTTTCTTTACGTCTTGTTTGATTGGATTCAGGAGGTCTTTGGTAGCAATCTGCAAGAGGAAATAAAACGTATAAAAACATGACTTTGAAGGATTTGTAAGTTCTCTTTTCTAAATTTCCACCAGCATGTAGTGTGTACCAGCTTGTATATAGCTAAGATATATTTGTATCACTGTATTTCTGCATTTAATTTTTATCTGTACAAATACATTTACATATTATGCCTTATTTGACACAAGCCTCTTGCTATGTTTGCTACTTATTTTGAATGTATTATTACAATTTATATTTTTTCTTTTATTTATTATTTTTTATTATAATATATTGTGATGTTTGAGCTACTGTGTCCAAATAATTTCCCTTGTGGATCAATAAAGTTTGTCAATAAAGTCTATATCATCTTTGTAAGGACTACTGCCTGGCATCTCAGCCCTTACTCAGTTTTAGGTCACTATTCACTCTGATGTACAGAGCCTTTACTATGGCCGCCCCCACCCTCTGAAACTCTCTCGCCCTTAACATCAGAAACATCAGGTATTAGACTCACTAAACACCTTCAAAAAAAACTGCTCAAAACACACTCAAAAACAGCCTACAGCTCCCACACCTAACTGCTCCTCATTACTGTTTTGTTTGTTCTGTCCTTGTTTTACTGTCAATTTATTGTGAAGCGTCTTTGTATTCCCATGAAAAATGCTATATAAAACCACTGCATCAGATCACTAGTCCCAGTATTTGTTAAATCTGAGGTACCAGAGTTATTTAAATCCTTCCAACTCATTTCTGGCTCTCACAAACCAGTTACTTTTTATGCAGATGCAAAGCAGACACACATACCAATGCACAGAACTCTTTTTTGGGGTTGCCATCAATACAACATTTTAAAATTAAGAGTAAGGCAATGCACAACTGTCTGACTTTTACATTTTATTCATTTAATTATTTAACTAAATTACTAATTTACGAGAATGCACTGACTTGCCCCTTTTGCATGAGGCGGTGTAGCTAATACACCAATCAAAGGTTAAGTAAACAGTAAAACCACAATAGATTTCTATGTACACAAAGCCTTGCTATGTACAAAGGCTGTGACGTTATATGCCCTTTGCTTTTGTTTGTAATTCAAAAAATTATTCATCAATAAAAAGGAAGTGGAGGTGCAGAAATACAAATCTATAATTTAAAGGTTTGGTAGTGATATTAGAACTGATGGTAAATGAAAGTCCGTACCTCCATCTTTGCATTTGTCCATCTTGGCACCTCAACCACCATGTTGAAGATATTCTGTAAGAGAGAAAAGCAAATATTTCACAATATTCACAACATATTTTAACTTGAGTGGCAACATGTTTTAAGTCTTAAGTTTATGTTTTTATTAAGTTTAGTTAGACAGATTTAGTCATACAGATAATAGAGATAACAAACTCTGATAAAACAACATAATAAGATGCCACTTTATTGTCCCACCAGGGGAAATGTGGTGCATAGACATCAAATAGACAAAAAATACAGTACAGGTGACAGAATAAAAACAGAAAATAGTCCAGTGCACTCACTTGCAACTGATAAAATTCATGAGTTCATAGTCAGCGCAGAATAAAAACAAACCAAACAGACAGTAATATCCTGAGATAGTGGCACGACACCACTGATAGCAACATTAGTGCAAAGGCCAATGTTAAAACTAGACTCTGACCGTGGAGCTGAGCTGAGAGTTAGCTAATGACAATCAAGTATTATGGCTATAATGAGGAAGTTTTTGTTTTATTATCTGTCCATTTAGTCACCATAAACTGTAAAAAGTTAAAAAAAAAAAAAAAAAAAGTACTCGCTCACCTGTGCCTCATCTGCGCACATAGGTATGTCATGGAATGGAGAGATGTAGTTTCCTTCTGCATTTTCTATAACAAAATTAAGAATAAATATTGACTACTGCACATCCCATTTATATCAATTTAACATTATTCAATATCAAGAGTTCTCCAGTCAAAAACAACTGAAATAACTACAACATATATGTGTTATTTAGAATAGTGGAGTCAAACATACATTTGTTGAACTTGATAATTCAGACTGCATTCTAATAACAAAATATAGTGTCATACAACCATTTTAATGTTAACAACATTTAAACAACTAGTATTAATCTCAAATGAAATAGACAACAGACTTAGTCAAATGTATACAGTCCGCACATTGTGATATTTGATATATAGGCCTGACAAATGAATGCTTGTTTTTTAGGCTTGGTTAAACTGATCAATGGAGGGCGTTGCTACCTAGTTTTCCTTCAAGGAACGACAGTGTTCTTGGGACATTTCCTGTTCCTTTTCAGTTGTTTAAATATTAATAAAACGTCAATAATTTTAAGTCAATTGCAAATAGCAACAAAGGCTAATCATTACAGCATTGGCTAAACCGGTGTTGGACACCGGACAGACTGGTTAGCTCACTGACCATGACCCATTGAAAATGTTATTATTATTATTATTATAATATTGAAACATATTATTACCATTATTTGGAACTTTCTTAGATCTGATTTTGACTAGCCTATCTGTACATTAACAACGACAGTAAATGAATGAATAGGCAAGTGACACGTGGAGAGAGATTAGACTTAAACCGGTTACATTACGCGAGCCATTTTAGCTAGTTTGCGATGCTAATTTGTCGGTTCCTGTGAACTTACTGAAGAACAGACGGTAGGACAGGGTGTTCGGGTTGCCCCTCTCTTCTACTGTAAAGCTCATGATTGACTGCAGCGCGGTGGTTTGTGTTTCTATGGGATGAGGATGGCGGCGAAAGGACCTGTGCTTGGACTGGCACCCCGGATCAAGTGCGCATGTGCCGTCAAACAACAAGTGGTGCGTTCAAAGACTCCAAGAAAGTTATATATATGTAGATATGTTGATATGTATAAACTATATGTTGTATATATACAGCATATAGTATATATATATATATATATATGTATATATAATAAATTTAATTTGATATAATATAATAAATTAAATGATAAATTATTTTTGTGAAGCCTCAAATCACGAGAGCAGTCACCTTGCACGGCTTGTACAGAATCGTTGAATTAATTTACAGACCTGTAGAAAATCAAACTCTGAAAGTCATTGATCAATAACAAAAAGCAGATTATGTTGATCCATCAAACTGATATTAGCCTTGTTTTGTTCATATTAAGTTAAGTACTCAAATATTTTTTTTATATATTTTTTTTATTTTTTGTAATTAAATTCAAAAAATATATAAATATATGCACATATATATTAGTATACTAAATTAGATGATTTTAAATTTTGCCAAATTGGTTATGCATGGACAGGACACACTCCTAGGTTTTTGTATCAGTACTAGGTTCAATTTAAGGTCTGTGTAGAATCTCTCAGTCATCCGGTAGAATCCATGGCAAAGGAGAAATTCAATTTGTCAACTGAACAAATGTTTATTTAGGTTGAAAATGTTTTGCCGGCAGATATAGGGAAGCATCTACCAGCATTCTGACCAGAATTGAAGAAGCAGCTTAGTAACATGTTCAACCAGTTGACAAATTTGATTTCTTCTTTGCCATAGGTTCAGTTTAGGTGTTTTTGTATTGCAATATTTAGATATGGTCATTCACTTCAGAAAATCTTGTAAATTCCCAGGGGTGAATTTAAATGTTCCCACATTGTTTTAGTTTTTTAATCCATCCCAGCTATTTATGCATAATAAATTAACGATCCAATCATGTGTCAAAATTTAGGGGTTTTAGTGCATTAGTAGATAGACCCGAACAACAGGTAGGTGCTGAGAGGGCCTTTGCGGATTAAATTACTTCTCAAGATCTTACTCCATTCTGAAAAGAAGCGTTTTAGTCCTTTCTTAGAACTGGCCAAGAAGGCGTTGAGTTAAATGGTGAGATATGGCTTCACCATGGCCTCAAAGAAATCAGTGTTGCTGTCTGAAAACAGAGTGGAAGCAGAGCTCATCTCATGCAGCAGGTTTTTAGCAGCTGCTTTACCAGTGGCTTTGAGATCTTTAGCTCTGAGCTCACAGTTCTCAGGTATCACAACCTGGTTCTCCACTTTCCTCAGTGTTTGGATAAGCACCATCTGTTGTTCATTGTCAGGGAGTCGTTTGAGTTTGGGGACAGTTTTTGATCATTGTTACGATCATACAATGTGTGGCTTCAGGGCAGTGGGTTTTTACAATGGATTTCACACTTTGGTCTTGAATTACAAGCCGTGATGACCTGGGAGGCATTAGTTCAGATAGCTCCAGTAGTATTTCCAGTTGGAGCTCTTCTGCAGACTCAGCAGAGAGGTCCTATGGAGTTGAGGACTGTTCAGGTGTAACAGCCTCAGATTCACTGACCTCTGGTGGCACTGGCTCTTCTGCTGACCTGACAGTAGGACTTACGGTGTTCTCACAAGTCCCCAATTCCACACTCTGGTCTTGAATTACAGACCGTCATGACCTGGGGAGCAATAGTTCAGATAGCTCCAGTTGTATTTCCAGTTGGAGCTCCTCTGCAGACTCAGGTTAAAATAAAGTCAAAATGAATGGAATGGCCATAAATGAACAATACTCAAAGGGAGTTTTTAGAGTAATGAGAAAAAGAACGAGAAGTAGTTTGACGTTTTCTGTTTAAGGCGCAATTATAAAATACACATCCCGCATTACGGAATTACTACTAATACTACTACTACTACTATTACTACTAATTTCTACTCTATGGAACTACTTTGTGTGTAGCCACTTCTGCAGATTTTTGGGTGCATACAAAGTCCCGCGTCTTGTACTTTTTCGCTTTTTTTCATTTCTGTCCAAGATGTAGGCCTACAAGTTTTAACTTACAATTTGTTATTGCATCATCCCTTTAAATGGTCAACCTGCAGAAAGCCATTGTGCATAGAGAATAATTTAATAAGCTGTGTGCACGTTTTGTCATCTAAACTGCATTGCACTCTTAGATGTTAAACAGGTTTTAACTCTTTTCTATGTCTTTAATTATTTTTATGTAAACTTTGTTGTAGTCCGTGGTCTGGCCGTCGGCGTCATATCCGGCCGCTGCGGGTCGTGCTTCCTGCCTTGCTGCTGCAGGAGGGGACGCGCTGACGGCTGGGAGGACGACAGGAGAGACAAGAAAGCTTTTGGGAAGATTTCCGAGAGAGGGGAAAGGCCCTGATCCACCGTCCGTCGGGAGATAAACACCCCAAGTCTGATTAGCCGCTGAATCCGTCACCCCACCGGCGCTACAACAAAATGTCGAGCAGTCGTCAGCTTAGCGAGAGCAGGGCCATCCCGACTAGGACGGTGTTGATCAACGACACAACCCAGCTACCTCATGACTACTGTACCACCCCCGGAGGCACTTTATTCTCCACCACTCCTGGAGGTAACGCGCCAGAGTTTTGTTTTAACCATGAAACGATAGATTAAAAGCATGCATTTGATTTCTGTGCATTGCTTTTGGCACAAATCGCCGTGGCCTTGGCTGCCTTGTCATTCTCTTCAAAACAAAAACAAAGCGTGTCTCCTCCCCTTCGCTTCTGCTCGCTGCACGATTGGAGCTTTGGCTGCGCAGAGATTGAGGTGAAAAAATGCAATGCACCTTTTCAGTGGTTGTTTGCACCCAGAATGTATCGTTTTGTTGGTTATTTAGGATTTAGCAAAAGATTATCTATAACCAATACATCAACAGCCATGAATCACAGCGGTGTTATGGGGTAAAGTGCAGCCAGACTGGTTTATGATGCGCAATTGGATCTAAATGAGGAACGCTCGTGATATCACTCCACACAATGTACCATGTTATTAATAGGGTGCAGAGGGAGTGCCTGCGTCGTATTGGCATTTAAACCGGAGACTATCACTGTTATGTGGGTGTAATACATTGTTATTATGGGCTATTGTAATGTAACCAAAATTATGCTTTTTCAAACTGTGCTGGGGTTTTGGTTTGTTTTTTGTTTTTCCAGAATATTTGCCGTGCCAGTTGCCCTCCTTCCTGTTACGGTCAGCTTTATTAATTTGACTCAAGTGAACTATTATCCCGAAATGGAATTGAACTAGCCACCCTCTGGACAAAAGGCAAAGGCGTACAGACTTTGCCACACTGTCACCATGCCATATTAAACCCTTCAATGTTCAAAAAAACTTTCAGAAAAAAGTAATATTTTCACTGGGGTCATTCAAGGACAAGTGCAGCCTTATATCATAGCTGCTCCCAAGTATAGTTTGGGTGTAATGAAATGTGGGTTGAACTAGTTTTTTGAATGGCCTGTGCCAGTTGTTCAAGGTTCAAGGTTGATTTATTGGTAAATTTTATTTGGCAGTAAGTCAGCTCATTCATTCACATACACACATTTGCATCTAGAAAAGTGACAACAGTACAGGCTAAAAGAACTAAACCCCCATAAGAAACAATGCTTTAAAAAGAAGAATACACATACCGCAAGTATTTAGAATCCAGAGCAACCGATGACTGATAAGCTCTTACAAGTTTTTTTGGCCGATATGTGAGGCAGATTCTGAAACTTTATAGTTACCATTTTTACAAATGCATCAGTAGCACTGTTCTACTACAAACTGAATACAAAAGTCATGCCATATGTCTGTACAATGCATCCCTATAGCTTATGAATACAAGAGGATGGACTGCTATGTTATGTTTATTTCTATGTTACTGTTGCAGAGTTTCATTTGGAATCAGTAAAGTATTTATATAGTCACATTTTGTGCACCGTCCTCTTCATAGTAAAGCTAAAATAGATAAATAGATAAAACTTTAGTCATATTTTGCAGCTGGTTAAGTAAGTAAGTAAACTTTATTTATATAGCGCTTTTTACTCATTAACGTCATAAAGTGCTTTACAGAGAGCGGGTACACCATAAAACAAACAAGTAAAATAGGGCAGTAGGACTGAATAAGCAAAATGCTTTTCTAAACAGGAGTGTCTTCAGCTGCATTTTAAAAGAATCCACAGAAGCGACCACATGGAGAGAAAGGGGCAAAGGATTCCATAATTTTGGGGCTACAGCCTGAAAGGACAGGTCCCCAGAGATTTAAACCAGTTTTTTGGGACCACCAGCAAGTTCTAACTAGAGTAATGGGTTAAAAGGTCCAGGATGTAGTTGGGGTCCTGCCTGTGTAGTGCCCTAAAAGTAATAACTAAGCATAAACAAAGTATCTGCCTCTCTTTGTGATTTAAGGTCGATATGTGATATGCTAAAAAGTGCAAATATCTATCTCTAATTTGAACTGAATGCAGTTTGAAACCATCTGAAATCTCCATATGTCCCTTCCAGGCACTCGTATCATCTATGACCGAAAGTTCTTACTGGACAGGCGCAACTCCCCCATCGCTCAAACCCCTCCTGCCCATCTGCCCGTTATCCCCGGAGTGACCAGCCAAAGCATCCTGACTGAGAACCACAAGAACGAAGCCAACCACATCAACAACCATGAGGGCAAGCCTGCAACTGGTATGCAACCAGCACAGAATCTCCAGGAATTGCCACGTTTACATGAGAGTTTTAATTCCAAATATAAATAATTTAATTCTGAATAACAACTCATTCTGCTTTAAAAATACCATGTAAACACTTAATTCCTAATGAAAATGATTATTCAGAATTAAACTTTCTTCTTTCTTTCTTCTTTTGAACTAATTGGGTGGTTTATTCCGATTTTAAAGTCGAATTAATTTATTCCTCAATCATGTAAATGTTTATTCTTCTTAAAAATTATTCCGGTCATTCAGTGCATGCTCGTTGGGTTGTCCTTCTGACACGATCCAGATGATCCGGCCCCATCAGTCCTTGCTTTGGACTTTCATTCAGTCCAGAGCAGCCGTTGACTCAGTTTGTCTTCTTCCTCCCTTCTCCGACAGTCTTCTCTTCTCCTCAGCTGACGTACGTAAAGCTTGATGATGTAATTCTCGAGCTGTTGCTTCATTATCATTGAAACAACTGCGAATAAAGTTTGCATCATCTTTGTGTATGTGGCGTAATGGCAAACTGAGATGACAAAACAGCCGGTAGCAACTGAAGTGTGTGTTTTGTTCCTGTAGATGTAAATACGTACGTGCACCTCCTGTTCAGTCAGAACCCTTCCCGACCTTCAGACATTGAGCAGAATTAAATCAAGGCAATTTAATGTGTTTTCCATGTAATCCTCAATTCGGAATTATTATTTCCAGGTAAACTCGAAGGAAAATATTTTAATTCAGAACTATTTAATTCAGAACAATTAATTCAGAATTAAAAAACATCATGTAAACGTGGGAAGACTTATGCATTTGCATTACATTTGACGTGCTTACTGTAGAATTAAATAAAATCATAGTGGCTAAAATATCTTGAAGAATGTGTTAAATGAAATAGGTTAATAAGTTATCACAAACATACCTGGAGTTGTTTTGATTCATTCACACGTTTAACACACAAACCCTGCATTTTTAAGATAAGCTCTTCTCTCAAACAGAAAACACTCTGTTCAACCTTGTGAGGTTATGCGATAATATAAGATGTGCTTTATGTGTTTTTAAACTCCCTACACCTTCACTAGAATTGTTTGGATAATTTCAGCTGTGGAATTGCCAATCTCTCCTGAAGAAAAGGTAAAAGGTAGTTGTTAACTTAAACTACCATGACATCACAAGGTGGAACAGTGGATTTGACAGACAGATGTAGACAGGCTAAGAATAAAGGATTACTCTAGCATGTGTTAATAATACAAAGCACAACTCCCAGTATGTTTTTAACATAGCTTAAACTTACAAGAGTCAATGGTGCGTAATATAGGACCTTTAATTAGCTGTAATTACTGTCTAGAGATGACCCAATCTAGTTTAAGTTTGATTTTTCTGTCAACACAAATTAACTAAGGTGCAATTATTTTTTCCTCTAACAAAGCCAATACTGTAGACAACAGATTATTAAATAACAAGATTCTTGTGGGAGTAATAACTAACAAATAAGGATCACTTATTTACTTAGTTCAGATTCTTGTCTTGTTTATTTCTCTGTTATTAAGTAGAGGTGTAAAGGAAAGGCTCAAAATCATTCAGGTCTGATTTTGATTCTATTGTAGAGGCTTTCGGTAACCAAAGACCAAGGATTAAGAGCACAAAAGGAAATGAACAAAGACAGAACAGGTGGTTCCTTGGAACACCTATGCAGACACAAAATTTAGCTCAACAGAATAAGCATGAACATCAATAAACAATAGCTGATTTAAATTAAAGTAAACTAGACTGAAGTAAAAGCCTTTTCCACATTTTGTTGTTTTTATTGCACTAAAAAACTTGGAAAAACATCCTCTGGGCAGACTTGCATCGCCATGAAAATTTTGCTTCTGTAAACATAATATTCCACAATATTTTCATGCTTACTTTAAAGGGCCTATTTTACACTATTTTCTGAACTATGTTACATTCCTATTATATGTTTCCTCAACAAAAATATACCTGGAGTTATCTTTTGTTTTATTCACAGATGTTAAACACACCCTATGTATTCTTTCTCTCAAACAGAGAACACTCTGTTCCACCATGTGATGTCATGTGGTAATACAGGAAGTGCTCCACTGTGTTTTTAAATTCCATACACTAGAATCATTTGGCTAATTTCAGTTCTCATCTTTACTGAACTAATGGTAAAATGTGTTAACATGAACACTACCACTTCATGACCTCACCAGGTGGAACAGATCATTTTGAGCTTTGGAGATATAGACACACTAAGAATAAAGCAATAAAGAAACGTGTGAATGAAACAAAACACAACTCCAGGTATGTTTTAGATGAAATAATATTATAACATGGCTTAAAGCTTTGTAGAGTCAGTTTTGCGTAATATAGGAGCTTTAAATTGTATTTGGAAATGCTGTTCTGTTAATACATAACATTACTGAGTATTTCCTACCTGAATGACACATTGTTTACTAATGACACTTTCTCTCTTTTACCTTGAAGGTGATGACGCCCAGTTTGAAATGGACATCTAGCAAACTGGAACCTCACCACGGCAACGAAAAAAAGCATATGACCTGGCACTCTCGTAGTGTCAGAGGCTTGGCTTGTAGAAACCAATGTTGTGAGCCCTCATGGCAGCCATCTTCTTTTTGCTCTTTGTCTCCGCTGCTGGATGTTAACGCGTAGTCACCTTTTGGGGTTACAGTTAAACAAAAGTACAGTGTTCGGTCATCTGTGGAAACCAGTGCATTTGAATAGGTTTCCACAGTTACCAGTCACTGCACAAACTAAAGGGGGCGGGGCTGAAAATTTGTGTCCAGTCTAGACCTCATATACTGCTTTTGGTGATCATAACTCCAGATCTATAGAGCACGCATTAAAATTTTTTGTTTGATTGGTGGAACAAGTGGTAATTTTCCATACTGGCCTTATAATCTTGTCAAAAAAAAAAGCTTTGGTATTCACCCATAGTTTTTTTTTTCTTATGTTGTCATTTTGAGAGTACTACTTGAATGGTCTTTGTATGGGATGCCATTTTATGTTTAGTTTTTTCGCTGACAAAAATACACCATTCCAATTTTAGTTCTCTATAGCGGAATCAAAAAATTACTCAAAGCCTTAGAACCACTTTTGAAATATTTCCTAATGCTTATTGCCACATCTTAAATGCACACTGCGTAACTTTTCTTTTGGGGGATCCGCCACTTATGTGTTTAGGTGTTCAGTATATGAAAGGTGGAATAATATATTTTGAATCTCAATATTTATCATGGGTAATTTTTCTTTTCGATAGTGAGCAGATTTTTTTTCATTTTTTTTATATAATTCGATCAAATTTCAGATGTAGAGAGTAGAATAAATAACTGCTATGGATAATTATAACACCATTCTGACATTTATTTGTTGCAGCTCAGGCTTTTTAATGATACTGTATATTTCTCCTGCTTTGTATTAGTGACATAAAGTAGTTTCAGTATTATAATTTATCACAATAATTCTCTGTGTCTATGATGGAGTTGTGATTTATTTGTGTGTAATGTTCCACAGTATGGCATTAAAGTTTTGAAAAGCAGGACACATCACCAGATTACAGGTTAGATCTGTGTTGAGGGGGAGAAGCCATATTATTTTCAATATATTTGTTCACACTGTAATTGAATAAATACAAATGTGGTGGAACATTCCAGGCAAAGAAATAACATGTCCAGAGACTAGCAGGTGGCGGACCCTCCACTAGAAAAGTTACATAGTGCATCTTTAAAGCGATACTTAAGTTTTCATTTCATTTCCTGGAACGATAAGATGCTATAATGGGGCGACCCAACCTCAATTTTAGAGTAATTGCCTTTGTTTAGATGTTTACTTTTTGACTGTTTTGAGATGTGGCTGAAAGCACTTGAAATATATCCATTGAAAATCTTTGCAAAAAGTTATTAATGGAATATAAAACATAATATTGTCTGCTATGAATGATTGTATTATCCCAACAGTTACCATTTTATTTCAGATTTTATTTTGAAAAGTCACACAGGCAAGAAAGCACTACATTGTATTTACCCTGAAAGGTAATACTAAATTTTTATCTCTTGAATCACTGAAAAAAATGAAGGTAAAAATTTACATTGATTGTTTAAAAAAAATGTTAAACTTGACAACTACTTGATAAAATGTCACATCCAATTTTTGCATGACAGGATCATCTTAATTTTCCAATGTTAAAGTTGGGGTTAAAGTTCACGATTGTTGAAAAAACTTGAAGTACAAGATGTTTTATATGCATTTTATTTTTAATACAGTTAGAATGGTGATGTTTTTGGTGTAAGTGCTGAGAAAGGTTTGTGTGAGGCGCCAAGGAACCAGAGTATACATTAATTACTGCATTGTTTGTCCCATACAAGTACCAATATTTCCCAGTGTCCTTAAACTACTCACTCGTGTCTGCCCATGCCTTACTTCACACAAATGCAGTAAATAAAGCTAGGTTTGTGCGTCATAAGAAATTTGTACTTTCCGAAAGAGGTTTATTTTTTCACTGTAACGATTGACAGCTAACATTGTGCTTGGCAAGAGCGCAAAAGGTTTTGAATCTTTAGTTTGATCAATCAGCGATTATGCGTACTTTTATTTGGGATGCTACATCAGAGTTTGCTGTGTGGTTCGCTTCAGGCTCAATACATGAGTGCCACATGCTCATTTGTACCCAAGGAATTAAACACCACAATCATTGTACTGTCTGCTTTTTATACTCCCAGTCACTTGGCAAACAAATAATATTTTTTTTGTCTTTATACACAGTGTGCTTCACGGCATGACTGAAAAGAGAACAGCAAAAATGTTTTCTTTCTTCGACCTGGTTTTGTGTTGCATTTGGTTCTGTGATATGTGGAGGATTTGTGTGAAACTGTTTTGCGTTGCACATTTTTGGAACAAGGAGATGTTTCTGTTTTTTCATATACAGAAATGCAGATTATTTCAAATCAGTTTGGTTTGACAATGAGGGCTTAACATTGTGTGTCAAAAGAGATTTGAAACAAAACTTACTGTAACTTTCCAATCTGGTTTAGATAACATTATTTTGATTAAACTTCAATGCCAGTGGACACTGTCGCAGCAAGATCAATAAAGTTCCTTAACAAAATGAGTGTTTTTTTGTTTTTTGTTTATAATTCTGCATTTCTTATTGACCAAGTGGATGTACATATAGTCAGTTTAATCAAATTACTTTTTAATGTTTTATTACAAAGAAAACACTGACTAGATAATTATGGCAACATGCACTGGAGAAAATAGGCTGAGAGGGCAGGGTTGCTCAAATTGCAAACATAAATTTGACAGTAATAGCATGACTTTTTAAGATTTTCTGTCCAGCATGTTTAAGTCTAACAAAGGCCAGAACAGCTGTCTGCTTGTGGACCGGTCTTCAATTTCCATCATGGGTTGATTTGTGGGGGGAAATTCTGGAGATACAGTTCTTCTGGTCAGCTTCATCAAATCACTTCTGATCAGCTCTTGTTCTTTATCTTCTGGAGATACAGATCCTCTCGTCAGCTCCCTCACATCATTTCTGATCAGCTGATATGCTTAATCTTCTGGCCATGGCGGACTGGCAATCTGTGCATTCTGGAGAAGCCCAGAACGGCCGTCCGCTCCTGGCCTGGTCCTCAATTTCCACCGTGTGTCTGCCCTTGGTTTTTTTGGTCAGCTTCATCCCATCGCTTCTGATCAGCTCTTGTCCTTCATCTTCTGGGGACATGGTTCTTCTCGACAGCTCCATCTCTTGTTCATCATCTTCTAGAGCCACGTTTTTTCTTGTCAGCTTCATCAGATCTCAGGACTATGGGGCTCAGATGGCCCCTCCAAACCAGTCACCATGTGAACAGAAATAGAAACAGAAACAGCGTTAAAGCATGTGCACATTCAGAATAAGCTTCTATACAATTATTATTTCTTACCTCATGTTTATTATTATTAGAGTCAAATGATTTTAACAAGTCAAGATGACTTACAATAAAACACCTAAACCTAGAGAGTAGAAGCAGGGACTGTTCCCTGGAGAGTCGGTGAATGCACTCCCATCTCTGCAGTTACAATTCTTAACAGTAGTGTAAAAAATGTTACTGCCAAGAACTTCAACTGCAGAGATGGGAGCGTGTTCACTGACTTTTACAAAACAACAAAACAAACACCCAATGTACATACTTTCTCAAACAAAACATCAATCATTCAGTTACAGTTGAATCAAAATAATTACAGTCATTCAGAACAACCAAAATCACTATTTCTGAACAGTCTTCAGTGTTTACAAAAGCTTAGAACTAATGATCAACACATAAGACTATTTAAAAAAAAAAAAAAAAAAGGAGAAGCAGGGAGTGTCCCACTGACTGGTGAGTTAGTGAACAAACCCACATCTCCAGATACAATCATTCAAAATAGTACAAGTCTCCAAAGAGACTGTTCACAAAGACTTTCAGTAAAATACACATTTGATTTGAAATGGTACTTTACAGGCCGTACAATGTGAATTCAACCCAACAAAAACAGGAGATGTGAGTGAACAAAGCCACACCTCAACACTTTAAGATTATTCTCTCATAGTTAATATAATGAGATTTGCAGTTGTTGAGAATACAGCCTCACTGCCTTAAATATAATATTTTTGTTTTTGTATAACACAGTTATATACAAATGTAATACTAAATACTATAAAACACACTCTCACCGCTAACCCTCCTATGCCCAGAAAAACACAAGTTTACAGTAAATGCAAGGTGTACTATGCAGGAATTTCTGTCAGACTGTAGTACTCTGATTAAATTTAATGTATCAGTTAGAACCCACTTTTTCAGTACAAACTAACCTGGGGCCCAACCGCGTGTTACATGTTTTACAATTAAGATAAGATAGTTAACAATCACTCAATTAAAATATAGTCAATGATAAAACTTTACATATTATCATCAAAGTTTTTATGAAATCCTACATAATAATCCTTGCTTTTTTTCCTACTTAAAGACTATAACACTCAGTTTAGTAAAAAGTCAAGATGTACTATGCAGGAATTTCTGTCAAACTGTAGTACTCAAATAAAATTTTACATTAATTAGATTTTAGTCCGTGAAAAGAGTAAAATGTATTTACTATTATTATTATTTTATTTATTTATTATTATTATTGTTTGCTTGTTGAAATCCTACATAGTATTCCCTACTTTTTTGTACTTTTTTTTTTTTTTTTTTTTTTTTTTTTGCATTTCTTTTTTTTTGTATTTTTTTTTTGTAAATCTATGACTTTTTCTAATAGTAATAGTAATAAAAAAAAACTATAAAACACACTCTGAACTCTGACCCTCCTATGCCCAAAAAGTATAAGGTGTACTATGCAGGAATTTCTGTAAAACTGCAGTACTCAGATTTGAATTCAGAATAAGAATGACAGGTTCATAACATTTTCTCAACAAGAAAATGTTATGTTTTATCACCAATGTTTGTTGCTTACTGAAATCCTACATAGTATTCCTTCCCTTCAATCTATTCCTTGAAATCAAGAAATCAATCAATAAATCAATTGGATGATGGCCGCGGTTGAAGGTGGTAAAAGTCGCGGCGTTGAGCCAAGCTCTGAGTCTCAGAGGCTGAGTTCAGTCCTCGTCTGACTCAGAGTCTTGGAGCAGGTGGCGGTAAAAGTAGCGGAAGCCCCCAGATGTCCCAGAGGAGGTGGAGGGCCTTGGGTCAGAGGTGGAGGGCCTTGGGTCGGAGGTGGAGGGCCTTGGGTTGGAGGTGGAGGGGCCTGGGTCGGAGGTGGACGGGACTGGGTCGGAGATGGATGGGTCTGGGTGGGAGGAGGAGAGGCATGGCCGCTTGGAGCTGGGGTCTTCTTCATGATCTTGATCCCTGACACGCTTGTGACCGTTGAGAGGAATGAAGTCCAGAGTCGGACCCATAGGAAGGAGGACGTGGAGCAGCAGGAGAGCAGGGTGCTTGCGGCTGAGAAGAGGGGGTCGGGCCATGACCCACTGGCTCCACAGCTCGAGCAGGAAGCATCCCCCCCAGGATCCTCACTTCCCTCTCTTCTACTTCTTCGATGAACACTTCCCTCTCTTCTTCCTCTTCATCCTCCTCATCCTCTTCCTCCTCAGAGAAACTGTCGTAGCCAGAGTCTTCGTCGCTCCTGTCCCAATCTTCATCAAAGTCGTCAAACCCGTCCTCTTCATCAGACGACCAAAAAGGAAACCTAGGACCACCCACCTCTAACTCACCCAGGTCTTCCTCGTCCGAGGAGTTGACGTCCAGGTTCTGAGCGTCCTGAAGGTCCACTGCAACAGGTTTGATAATGTTAAACACCCTTCAATTTGTAGCTGGAGCAAGACATGACATTGCTTCTGATCAGTTCAGTTGGCCTATTTTACTGTTACATCTACTGTGGTGTATTCCAAATTGTGCAATACAGAGTGGCTCAATACATTTGGTTGATATTGTCAGTACTGTAATGCATGGTTCAAGAACAGCAGGAAAATAGGAACATGTGATCAAAATCAAGATAAATACTATAAAGAAAGACACAACACTGTCAGCAGAGTAAGGCTACAAAACTGCACAATAAGAGGCTTTGACTGTACAGCAGAAGGACAAGAATAAACAGTAGATTAAGTGACTTGAGTATACTATATTATTTGTACAATGAGTAGCTATAATTATGTATTATCTACAATGCAGCATATGGACAAATTAAATCAAGTGACTTGGGTAAATTGTACTTGCAAGATCTCACATTATGTTACAGTATTGCACATGATAAGGCCTACTACAGGTGGACAGCACGTAAAGACCTACAGCACTTAAGAACACACCATTTAGAGAATATAACCAAACATTAGGCTACAGTACATTTTACTGGGTTCTTGGTTTTTGCCTGGCCTAATTCATTCCATTATGTGGGCCTATTTGATGAATGAGTTCATAATTATGAATATAGTTATGGATTATTTAGTTGAACCCTTTAATGAAGCATGTTTGTATAGTTTATAGGCTATATGGTGGGTCCTATAGGTTTTCTTGCAGTGATTTGAGTCTCCTAAACCGAACCTCAAATGGAACGCTCAAATTAAATCCAAACACCAGGATTTCTATGGAGATCAAAAGTGCATTTTTTAAACATTCCAATTTAGCATGGCTAGCCTGGTTAGCCCGTGTTTTTTCAAAAAATGCCACTCAAACCCTAATGAATTTTGACGCTCAGAAAATACAAGACAAATTATTTCCTACAAATGTGACGATAACTTTTCACTACGCACTCGTGTTGATATATTTTGAGCAGTTTCACGAGCTATCATGACCCAAAATGAAATCGCTGAGTAAAAGTCACAAACTATCAACTTTTAGGAGCCATACAAACCTTACACCCATTACTAGAACCTTACACCCATGTGGACTAAACTTGTCATTAAGTATTTGGACTATGTTATTAATATTTATCATAATTTATCATGTTTGAATATTATTTGATTAATCTTACCTCCGGGGATGAATTCCAGGTGGTAGGAGGGCGCGGCGAAGCGGTCGTACAGCCAGGCAGCCATGGCGAAGTACAGTCTCGATTTAGTGCGTTTTCAAACCTTCAAAAAGAGTTAACAGAGAGTTGAGTGTTGTGAAAATCGCTGATGGCCTCATAAGAGATGAAAACTAAAAGTTACGTACAAGTGTCCACAGAGCGTTCAAGTAGTTTTCTCAGGTGAGAAGGGAGTAACTGAGTGAGCGCAGCCGTTTATATAGTGCGTCCAGACGTTCTGTTGCTATGGCCCCGACGCACGACGCATCTCCTGACCGTACGTCTTTAGGCCTTTGACTTGTCTTTTATTTGATCAGATAGTCTATTTTACAAATGCAAGGGTAGGTGCTTTCCTATAGCCTAATAGGCAATTCATTTTAAGAGGATAATCAATAAATTAGGGCCCGGACCATGCGTCGTTTTACGTGTAGCCTAAAAGTTATAGATATTTAGCCTATATGAAGAACAATATAATTCTGTGTAGTGAATTTATTCAAACCTGCACTGACGTAAAGCACAGTGACTTGTGAGTGGCATAGCCTTCACCTCGATCGTGTCTCATAGATTTCATATTTGTACTCTTATGGATAGTACAATTTAAGTCAAAATATCCCAAACCATTTTTTTTTCTTTTCATATTTTTATGAATAATTTTTTGGAAAAAATTATAGGCCTAAGGCTTGGTTCCAAACTGACGTAACATACATTGATTTTATACCTTTACCCACTAGTCTAGGTGCACAATAAACCACCCAATACCATTATCATTGTTTATCTGTTGTAAATCATTTTATTAGTCATCCATCAGTTTTTCCTTCATAATAAATAATTAAGTGTAAATAAGAGTAATAAGTGATAAATAAGAGTACGTAAGTACCAGACGTCCACATTTAGTGGGACAGTCCCAGTTTTGAGTCCCGTGTCCCCTGTCTCAGCAGAATTATCCAAAACCAGTGATTTGTCCCAGTTTTATACAAGACATGTCCCTGGTGTCCCTATTTTTAACCAATTTGATTCCTGCCAACAGTAAAGACAGGTGTCATTTGTTTCGGTAAAACACAGAAAAGCTTCTTAAAAATGATCCAAAGAGCAAGAAAATATGACTATACTGACTCACATGTTAGTGATGAATGGACAGTTTTCATTAATTACAGACTCTTTTCACAATTTTATTATCACCAAGGCCAGTTTTGGATTTTAAAAGTCTGGTCACTCTATACATAAGTGATATCTATCCCTGTGTGCTCTATTCGTCCTGCTGCCGTCTTGGCCAGCCAGACGGATATTTATTTATCTCAGTGGGACTATTCATGTGTATAATCAGGTTAATCACTGGGAGAATAAACATGCAAAAAAAAAAAAAAGTGTCCAGAAAGTGAATTATTTTCTAACAAATGATTCATCACCCACGGTCTAATATACAGGCTACATGGTGAGATTTGACAAAAAACCAGAGGGGAGATATTCTATAAGATTTTAAGCAATATCAGTGGAGCTGCATTAATTAACTATGAGGTCCTTGTCCCCACCAGATATTAAAATAATTTAGCAGAGGTAGGGATATCAAAACCAGAAAGGAGAAATCCCCTCAAAGTAGCCTTAGCCTATCTGAGCCTGCGTATCTCTATTCAGAATTTTATTAGTAATTTATATTCCTTGTAGGTCACCCAGCAGAAAATAAGCCTTTAGGGGTCTTCTGCATTACTAATATTTAGTTATATAGTTCAAACATAATAAATATAAAACAGACCTATTATTATCAGAAATTATTCTTTTGTAAATTACTAATACAGTAGTATTTCTGATTGTCTAATAAAATGTTCTATATGTTCAATTCATACCCACACAAAATCATGTCCAACAGTGAAGGCACTGAGAACGATGCACTCCCTCTCGTCCACAGTGCAGAGATGCCACAGGCTTGAGTGTGCTCAGGAGGTGGCAGCCCTGCGTGTGCTGTGTGGGAGGGGGCTGGCAATGACACCGTATCAATGGATCAAGGGAAGCAGGATCTACTTGAAAAGCATAAAAATGGCATAAAAAGTCCTACTTTCAACATTTTCATCACTGAGGTGAATGTAACTGCCCTCTGTTTGGTACGCTGTAACTTCATATTATGATTTCGCATTTATGGACTTTTATAGCTTATTATTGTTATTTTTCTGCACAATAATTCCTAAGGCTGAATATATGGTTGTTTATCAGGTGTCAAGGGGCATCCAACATAAATGAACAATGAATACATGACTCATTGAGCACTAACTATGACACAGTAGTTTACATCAATTGTTTTAAATACCAAGACAACATTCAAACACAATTAAATGTGATTTTTCAGTGGTAACTACACATCCACATGCTTTATCACTGTAAGGAAATTGTTAGTCCTCTAGCTCCAACACAGATTGCACTAAAATCTGCTGTGGAGCAGTGGAGTCCTGGCATGGCTTGTGTTGACTTAGTCCTGGCCTACTGGACCGACTGGTGAAGACTGATGTTTACTTTGATGAATTTTGGTATTACCCATCAGCAGCTTTGGAGAGTATACGAGATCTAGACAGCTCTTATTGTTTCATCCACTGATAATCTTCACAGATCGGGCCAAATACATTCTGGACCACTTTCAACTTCACTCTTCAGCAGCAGAGAGGGGACACAAAGCAGGGGACAAAGGGACACCAAAGCCCAGTTGTTATATACCTGAAAAAATCTGCCTATCTATCTACCTGTTTAAAATGTAAAACGTTTTTTATGCACATTTTGAGATTTAATACAGCTTCAAATGTACAGATTTTTCATTTTGTTTGGTAGAAATCACAGAATGATTTTTGTTTTTATTTTTTGTGTATTTTGTTTGCTCAACTGAGCACCTTTGAGACACAAAAGGGGATGGAGACGTACAGTGGAAATGCTGCAGCAGCTGCAACAGTTTGCTGCACCAAAACTTGAATTTCATCAATAAAGTATCTCTCTCTCTCTCTCCTAACAAGAGGCAAAGTATAATAAATTAATCAATGGCAACAATATAAAAAATACTAAATTTAATCTTTGCCTTGCCAAGGAATGCTTTTGCCAACTGACACACGGTTGCTTGAAAAAAATCCCCTAGTCTGAGGTTTGGATCACTTTTGATAAAATAATGACTTTGTTCAGTCTCATTTACAACATTACTGGGGTTTTAGAGTTTAGCAGAGCAATTTCTGTGCTTTTTAATATTATGGCAGTAACTTCTTTTGATGTTTATTGCATTTTTCTCTTTGTCTTTGACATACCACTGTAGCCTATAACTTGTAATCACATCTGTAAACTAGAAATAAAAACAGAAACGTGCAATGTTGGCTACCCATAAAATTCACCGCACGCTACTGCAATAAAGTAGCAGAAAATGAATGAGAAAACATTTCAGCGTTTGCATATGTATCAGAAATAATTAAAACCAACTCAACGCACAGTAGAAAAATTACTCTGATGAACTAAAATAAGAAGAAAGAATACAGTCTTCTAAATCTAATAAAGTGAATAAATAGTTTCCAGCAGGCATATTCAACAAGTCCCCGGTCTTCGCGTTTTTCGACAGGCATTTACGCGGGCGCACGCTGGTCCTTCCTCCTTTTCTACGTCCCTCAGCGAGGCCGGCGTCAAGATGGTGAGTTTTGAGGCCAGGTTTTGAGCATAAATCCCGAAATTATCGTGGGCATCCGTTTCCCTAGATCTGCACATTGGTCATTAAGTATCTGTGTGTATTAGATATGTAAGATACGGTGAATATTGATGGCAGATCACTTCAATAAAGAGACATTTTCCTACTCAAACCAAATGGTACCCGGACGTTGTCAGTGGAGACATGGTGCTTACATTAAGCAGTGTAGTCCTTTTTCGCTCCTGTAATGTTCGTTTCTGGTGTTCGCGTCAAAGAATAAATAAATCAGAAATATAAAGTCAGTAAAGATTTAGCAAGTCTGACATATGTAAAGCTAGCAGCGTAGCTAGGCTATAGAGCACAGCTAGCTATGGGCCCTGCAGAAACACTAGGAGAGCATTAGATTTGTTGACAGTTTCTGAAGTGTTTATCAGACCACATGTGTGAAGGAGGATTTTTCTGATCACATTGGGTTGTCTTCGTGAGCTCCCATGCAACGGCCACAGGTGCTCACTGTCCTGTCTGACAACAATGTATTGTATCGCATGTGTAGTGAGTAGTGACTTGATGCTGACTACAGAAATGATCAGCTTCCAGTTCTGAATCTGTTTTGACAGTCTAAGCTATTTTGTTTGTATACAGTAAAATGTCTAGCATAAGTCAGGTAGTGATGTGTTGTCAACTCTAACAATTGAGACTTGCATGAGTGTGTTTCCTAAATCTGACCTGTACAAGGTATGTGGCGTGTTTGGCTTTTTTTGTAACATGATTAGTTTTCTGTTCCCAGAACGACACAGTGACTGTCAGGACCCGTAAATTCATGACGAACCGGCTGCTTCAGAGGAAGCAAATGGTGTGTATATTGTCTCATGATGGACTCATGTTCATATGTTAGTTTTTCTAACATTGTGTTCCCAATTGTACATGCAGGTCGTCGATGTCTTGCACCCAGGCAAAGCAACAATTCCCAAAACTGAAATCAGGGAAAAACTCGCCAAGATGTACAAGACCACCCCTGATGTCGTGTTCGTGTTTGGCTTCAGAACTCAGTTTGGAGGGGGAAAGACGACAGGCTTCGCTATGGTGTATGACTCCTTAGACTACGCTAAGAAGAACGAGCCCAAGCACAGACTGGCCAGGGTGAGTTACAGTCACTTATCGAGATTGAGACTAGAGATGTACCTATCCCATATATACATCTCTGTAGGATATTTATTGCAATATTTTGTGGAGACTATAATTTTTTTAATGCCTTGAAAAAGTAGTTACAATGCAGTGGAATATTGTGAAAGGCCATGATATTGTGAGACTTGACGATATATTTGTTATTTTTACCGCTCTAATTAAGACCATAATCAAACTTCATTTACAACAGTTATTCTGTCTTCAGTCTTCATTATAAAAAAAACATGTGTGTTTCCTCAGCACGGACTCTATGAGAAGAAAAAGACCTCAAGAAAACAGCGCAAGGAACGCAAGAACAGAATGAAGAAAGTCAGAGGCGTCAAGAAGGCCTCTGTGGGCGCTGCCGGCAAAAAGGTAAGACCATAAAGCTTATCCAAATGAACAATAGATCCAAATGTATATGACTACACTAGTGTATTTTTACAAAGCTATTTTTTCACGAACTGTACTTTTTATTAATTACTTTATCCTTCTCATCCACTTTGTCCATCTGGATCTATAGAAGGTAAACCCAGGCTAACTGCAGTGTGTAGCAATCCAGAGGTTGCATAGACCACCTTGGATGCTAAATGTCTTGCCTTTGAATGAACCACACAGTATTACTTTTACACTCTGCATTCAAAGGGTTTCTACACCAATACTAAAACCCCTAAGAGCATCCAAGTGAACAACCCATTTTGATGTATTTAAAATCCACTGACACACTGTTCATGAGTTTAAATTGCTGCTTTATTAATGTCTGGAGCACAATTGAACTAGACCACACTGTAGTTTTGAGTTTTCCATTTTGACCATCTTTTAAACCCTTTTACATTCATTTTATAATTTGATATATTTTTTGTCACATTTCTTACTTTGCCTTCATGGATTTGTTTTGCAGAAATGAGGTGTCAGTTTCAGGTACAGAAGCTGAGCGCATGGTGTGCCGTGTGCAGCACATCATAGAGCAGATCTGCTAGTCCTATGCATGTTTCCTTATGTTAGTCTGTGTGTGTAAACCTCAAACCCAAGGCTTTTGTCCTCTGTCCTTACTCACTGGGTATGGTCCACGTGTGTTCCAATGTAGTGCTTAGAGAGAATGCTTCAATATGAATTGAAATAAGGGGTAAAAAGCATGGGTTGGAGTGACTGTGTGGAAGCTCTTAACTAGAACCCTGGTCCTGACTAGACGTGTGTTTTTAAAAGCAACTCGTTTGAACTACATGATAATTTCTTAAGTTACAGCCTCTTGTATTTGTGCACCGTCCGAACTATTTTAACTTATATTAACTATTTTACTTTTTTTCTTTCATTTGCAGTGAGCCTGGACTGCTGGGGAGGTCTGCGTGTGCAAGATGTTCTTGTATATTGTCAATAAAATTGAAAAAAAAAGATGACCTGACTCCTTCAATTATTCAACCTACTGTTACATCCAACAAATCAAATTGTTTCCTGCGTCCACGTTGTTGGCTTTTTGAGTAAAGCTGTTTGGTACATTGTCACTTATGCTAGTTCACTGTGGTGTTTTATACAATCAGTGGTGGCCTGTACTGTGTGCACAATTAGGCAAGTGGATGTTTTGACCATATGATTTTTATTGATATTCTTCAACTACAAGCTGTATAAACATGAATTCCTTTTTAATTTAAGAACATCAAGTGATGTGCATTTCTCTAATGAGGGAGGGTGTGGCCTAAAGACATCAACGTCCTATATCAAGGTGTACAAAATTATTTTTCTTAAGGCAAAATTGGCCAAATAAAGATTGAACTGACTGAAAAGTTTTTCAGAGGGATACAGCACTCTTGAAACTGCAGAGATATTGTCATCACAGAACCATCAGACATTTTGAGAAGACTCAAACATGAAGCTACCAGGAACCCATGATCCTCCAGCGCTGTTGTGCTCCAGAACTATTACCAACCTGGAGTGCCCAGAAGTACAAGGTGTTGATGAGGCCAAGGTGAGGAAGGCTGAAAGATCAAGACTGGGCCAGTAAATATCTGAAAACAGGTTTTTCAAAAGTTTTATGGACTGATGTGATGAGAGTGACTCTTGATGGACCAGATGGATGGGCCTGTGGCTGGATCAGTAATGGAGACAAAGTTCCACTTTGACTCAGATGCCAGCAAGGTGGAGGTGGGGTACCGGTATGGGCTGGTATAATTAAGAGTGACCTTGTTGGACCTTTTCGGGTTGAAGATGGACTCAAAATGAACTCGAAAACCTACTGTCAGCTTTAGAAGACACTTTTCTTCAATCAGTGGTATGGGAAAAAGTTTGCATCTTTCAAGAGAACCATGATTTTTATGTAGGACAATGCTCCATTGCATGCATCGAAATCCTCCACTGTGTGGCTAACCAGTCAAGGCCTTAAAGATCCTCACATGTCTAAAACCCTATTGAGAATTTATGAGTCCTTTTTAAAAGGGAGATTTACAATGAAGGGAAACTGTACACCATTCTGAACAGTGTTTGGGAGGCTGTGATTGCTGCTACCCAAAAAGTTGATAGTGAATAGATCAACTGACAGGCTTATGATGAAGAAGGGTATTGGTCACAGATTTTTTTTTTTTTTTTTTTTTGATATGTCAGAAATGTTTATTTATCTATTTTGAGTTGTTTACTATTCTGACAGATGAAAATAAACAAATGAGAATGGACATTTTTCATGTAGTTGCGTAATAACTGCACATTAATAGTTGCCCAATTATAGATTTTCTCCCAAAAAAGCTAAAACTTTAGCTTTCTTAAATATTCAGGTTTCAAGTTTATAAACGTTTTGGTTTGACTGAGAGCATTGTAGTTGTTCAATTATTAAAATAAAATGTATCCTCATAAATACAATTTGCCTAATAATTATGCACAAATTGTATATAGTTACACTTGAATATAAAAGGGCACCGCTTTCTGATCAGTAACGTTTCATTCACACAAATCCTGCATATTTACTTCATAGTTCTTTCAAACAGAAAACACTTCCACATTGTGATGTAATACAGGCAGAGCATTTTTTCCCCCAACTACATACACCTAGAATTATTTTCGAATCAACCAATCCACTAAATACAAGTTTGTTATTAACTTAAACTATTGCTTCATGACATAAGGTGGACATAATGCAGGGCTCCTCAAATGTGAGAATGAAAAGGCAACTTCGGGTACGTTTTTTAAAGCTTACTAGTCAGTTTTGCGTAATATAAGACCTTTAAATGTTAATTAATAAATGGTAATTTTCTGTGGTATTGGCAAAGATAACTGCTAAAAAGAATATTCATTCATCGCTGAAATGAGAATACACACCTGGCTGAGACTGGTGCGGTGAGAATTCCTATAGTTTGCAGTTAACGGGCTGCTTTGCTGTTTTTTTTCTGACCACTTGAGGGCGCTCTTCACTGACGCAAACGCCACCCATGCGCGCGGCCTTCCATTGTTTTGTTTTGTAGGTAATTGTGTGATTGAGCCCTGAGCCAAAGCGCTTTGTGGACAAATTACACTAATACAGGCTTTGGGAAGAGATTTTGGACTTTTGCCTCTGCTTGTTTTTGATAAACACTATTTGAAACAGAATACATCTCCCCTTTCAGCGTGACCTTTTCAGATCATTTGCATGGAAATACCCAGAGCGCGTGTGTAAATGAAGTGATTAAAATAGTGTGTCTGCAGGGTGGCCCCACATCCAGCTCTGGCTCTCCGCTGCTCCCAGACTTGTGTGGAAATCAGTACTTTTCATAAACACACCAGGTTTCAACTGATTTTTAAACAAAGGATTTTTATTGTGAAGTCGTAACTGTCAAAATATTGTTACCATGTGTACAGGGATTACATATATCACGAGAAGTCCACACATTTTATTACAGCAGTGTTATGATGTAAAAAATAACATAGATCTCTTTGGAGACAAGAAAATGGTGGATCAGAAAAGTTACGTAATGCACCTTTGATATTTGATACGATTCAGTTCAGTATGTGAAATATAAAAATCAAGGGGATAGACGGGAATAAATAAACCAGGAATAAACTAATATTATGCCAAACTGACCCAGGCGTGGTCAGTTTGAAAGATCTAGCAGATCTATCAGACTGACCAAATTTTCTGTCGTGTGCTGGTCTCTGGAGAAGTGAGTCTCGTGTGTGAGCCGAGGTAAATGCCCCCTAGTCTCTGTTGATGGTCCATGTGCCCTGCTTCCTGATTTCAGTAGCCTCTCGTATCCACACCTGGGAACAACAGCTGATAAGAGACACATCACAGCAGTCAGTGCCAAAACATGTCAAGTAAATAAGCAATTATTAGAAGATAGCACAATTTTTTATAATAAAAAGAGCAACATAAATTTTCTTAACATCCTTTTTTTATTCATTTGTAGCCACAGCTGCCCTGGGACATTCCAAATCTGAGATGCGTATCATTCTGCATAAGGTGGGCAGGTGAGAGGTGACATAACAGTGAAGGTCAGAGGGATTTGGTTTTTATTTCTGGCTTACATCCAAAAGTTTTAGGTTAAGGGTAGTCACAAAGAGGACACTCCCTATACTGGCTGATTCAATAACCAGTATTCCAAGAAAATAAATACTAGTATATAGCTGACGTACAAGGTTCCTAATTTTACAGAAATTTACTGTTTTTGAAAGGAAATTTGGCTGTAATTTTTGGCAGACTAGTCATGATTTTCCTTATTAGATTCTACTTGGGTTGGGTCTTGGTTTAGTTTCTGTCTTCACTTATACAGTTTGACTAGTGAATGAAAGCATGTGCATTTGTCGTGTTGTGCATTTTTGTGTTTTTGTGACAAAATATATAAAAATATCACAATCACATCATTATCACACTACTAAACCCAGTAATCGAGTATTGCATCTTTTTCTCATATCATACAGCCCTACTTAAAACAACCTCAAAGCTACAGCAGTTACCCCCATCCTAATGCAATCAGCCTCACTGCTTCCTGCATTACGTCTAATTGTGCTCAGCTCTGGTTCTCTCATATTTCCATGCCTCCACGCCAAGCCTCTGAATGTAGGCCAGACGATTCTCCTGCTCATCTCGACGCAGCAGAGACAGGCGCTCCCAGGCATTCCCATTGACACATTTTGGGCCGATCTCCCAGTATATATATATATATACACACACACACGCCTTTTCCCATGTGGTTACCCAATCAATGCCAGCCTACCTAAACTCCATCTTGATCATTTAAAGGAGACATGTGATTTCTTGTTGGTGTTTTGAATATTATTAAAAACAAGGGCATAGGTTTGGTCCCAGCTTTGGTGGGGATATTATTAGCTAAGTGTAAAATGGGATAAGAAGCTGTGTATATGTTTTATGAATTCTTTCTAGAAACACAGAGTCTGGGCAGGTCCAAAGTAAGTGAGAGGTGGTTTCACTTTTCAGTTTGCAAAATGTACAGTTTTTGTCCTTTGTCCTTCTAGGATGATTCTTTAGCGGATAACAGTGATGTTGAAGTTTGTAGCAGATTTCCCTTTGCTTGTTGGTGATGAGATATTTGTGAGGTAAGGTCCAGACATTTTTCCATGGAATATTGTCAGTAGAGTCCAGCTGCTAGCAGCGCACGAGTAGGGCTCCATTTGGGAGGTGCACTTGTAGTGATAGTCATTCTTTTTCTGCAGCAACTCATTATAAGACAAGTTTAAATGAAGATGAAGCCAAGTAAGTTCCTTTTGAAAAGTTTTTCAAAGTTTGTTGCTCAGTATCTTCACTCACGCCTCCTCAAGCCGCCATCTTCAGGTGCTGGCACTGTCCTGCCACTTCTCCTGTTTATGCTCCTGGCACCACTAATGACATCACTCTTTTACAGCCGATGAAATAGCAGCGGGGTAACCCTGTCGTCATATCACTGAAGACATCTCAGAACGTCTAATAAACAAAATGTGAACTAAAACACGTTAAATTAATACTATTGAGTTTGGAAAGATATCGTAATAAATTTGTATTTTTGTTTATTAAAATAAAATGGCAAATATTCCCCAAATATTGGTTGTGACATGTCCCCACTGTCCCTATGCAAACCTACATCCTTGATTAAAGAAGACCTACTGTGCTTGAGCCTGCTATATAGTTTTAATCTGTGACACTCGTGGATCATGATGCTATAGGCTGATTTGCAATATTGATCTAAAACAACTTAATAAGAGGAACAAGCCTTCTGACTTCCACTACAGAAAACTGCAGTGCCAAGTGGGAACCATTGTAAGCACTTCCAGGGGACAGCTGCACATGACTCTTGCACGCTGCAGATTTTTCATTTGTATTAAAATGATTTAAATGCAAGAAAATTATGGCATTTAATTAATCTATTTTGCATTTTTATCATCGCAGGAGTTGAATTGGTAAAATATTATTGGTGATATACTGTGAGCAAGCTTGCCTCTC